TCTAGAATTTAAGATTTTAGTATCGTAAAGGGCTTGTTACTGGATACAATATTGTAGTCCCCAAAGGGAGGAAAACGGTCCTGTATCTCAGCAATATTGATACCGAAGATCCTATCTCAAAATATACAACAATGAAAAATATTATGTGTTTTTGGTTAGATCATATGAGTTACTAGTGTTTCGCCCCTTATTTATTTTGAAGACGGGTAAACACAGCCGTTGTAGAAATTTTGAGGGGTCAGATCTTTCTTCAAAAAATAGGTAACATGTTCAAACGAACCATGTACAGGACAATTTCATATCATTAAACTTATATAATGCAAAACAAATTATATATTTGTTTTTCTTTTAATATTTATATTTTTTATTTAATAAATTTTATTCATGATTAAGTTTTAATTTCTCGGGTTTATAATATTTTCTTAGTTTCCAAACATGTGCAATTTCTGTTTTTTCTTTACTATGAACTATGACTATTCTTTTTATTTACTTCATAATTTACATTAGACATCTTTTGAATGATGCTATAAGGACCACTAAAAGTTGGAGAGAGTATTCTAGTGTTAGGATATTTAAACTCTTCATACATGACTGCGTTACCGAGTGAAAAGTTTATATCTACAAATCTAGAATCGTAATAAACTTTATTTTTCTCGTGGTATCGTTTTGTGTTTTCGATAACTATTTTCCTAGCTTCTTCAAGTGGAGGACAAATATCCACTTTTAAAAGATTTTCATATGGAACTATGCCCTTTAATAAATATGCCGGAGGGAATTCCGTAACGGAGTGAGGAGTTAAATTATATTCGTGAACAACTTCTTTTAATAATTTAGGTCACGGTATCATTGAAAAATTTTCATTAATTTTATATTTTAAACGCGTGGTTATTGTTTGTTCTAATCTCTCTACCTTGCCATTAGTTTCAGGCCAATGGGCTGTAGTTAAAAGTTGTTTAAATGTATGATGCTTAAAAATTTTTTCGAAATGCGAAGATGTAAAAGCTGCATTTCTATCACTAAGAAATTTGTAGGTTATTTGATTTTGAAAAATTTGTGAAGAAAAGTGGTATAAGTTTCTGTTGCAATAGATTTTGAAGCGAATACCCATATATATCTCGTAAGATGATCAATAATTAAGGTCAAATATTTTTTTGTTGAATTATAATGATTAAACCACCAACACTATCAATTGCAAGCAAATCAAATGGTTTATCAGCAGGAGGCATCGATTGTAAAAGCCCAAATCTCTTCTGTCGGGTCTTCTTATTCATTTGACATGTGTGACAATGCTTAATAAATTTAGTGATATCAGAAGTAATGTTTGGCCAATAATATACAGGAGTTAATAAATTAATTGTTTTTTGAGTACCAGGGTGTCCAAATTTTTCAAGAGCAATTTTGTGTAATTTTAATCGTAATGAAAAAGGTACTAAAATTTTAGTAAACCCTTTTTTACGAAGGCATAATACATCATTAATTTCTACAAATCTTCCAGTTAAATTGTCACATTTTGCGCTTCAATAATTTCATTTAATTGCAAAAGATGTGATACTTGACTTCCATCATTGTTTACATTTACATTTGAATCTGGTGTTTCTCTCGAAAACATATCTATATTTGTACTACCTTTTGTATATTTTACAACGTAATCATACATTCTAAGGTGCAAAGACCAGCGAAATAATCATTCATTCATTTTCACACCATTCACAATCATTCATTCAATAATCATTCATTTTTCACATGTCTATTATAATTTAGTTCTTTCACATGTCCACACATAGACGGTGACGCCGCTGAATCTCAACTGTAAAAAGATGTGATATTATTTTCTTCTCCTGGGGGGTGGAGATTCTAAGGAGTTGAAATTCTCCTTGATGATTCTTTGAATGATCTAGATGCTGCGATGAACTTTTGAATGGATATTTATTGTTACATAATAACTTCTTCCACGGTTGTATATCGACTTTAGCAGAACGATAAGGTTTCTTTTTTCGTTGATTTGATGATCAACTTGCATATTTTTCTATTTACTTCTTTTGGTAGGGAACTGTAAAGAATTCAGCTTTTTCACTCCATCCATAGGAACTTGTTGAAGTATACCTTAATTCTTTCCATCTTCTTTTTCTGAATGTAACATATATTCATTCTCTAGTCTTTTCGTTGCAATGAAACGATAAGTATGTTCTTTGTTGTTTATTTCCAAACTGCCTATTGAGTCAGAATGATAAAGTTTTTATTTCCTTTTTATACATTTTTTTTCTGTCACTTGCCATTATTCCCAAACAAATCACTTCTCAATTGCCGGCTTGTAATAATATGCCTTTAAAGGCTAGATAATTGAAGAGACTTAGGCTGATTCAGATGCATTTTATTAAGTTATATTAAGTATTGAAAACATTGTTGTCTGGAGTTTTGCATCTATTACATTAATGGGTTTCCTAGAAGGGATGTTGGGATTTGGCACAGATTTATCTAGCCATGAAAATAGGAAAAAGCCATGAATTTTTGATGCTCTTGATTAGACAGGCCTTGCAGCGTGAGTTCATACTTGAAATAAAGCAGTTTCTCATTTGCTGTGGCAATTGGTCCAACTCACGCTATTTTCATTCCCTGGATGGTTCTCGGGGGGGGGGGTAGCGAGTTGCAATTGCTCTCCCCAGAGTGTTTCAGATATGCTCTATAGGGTTGAGGTCTGAGAATCTGGCTGGCCAATCCATCCCGTGAATATCCCCACTCTCTACAAATTCGTCGACCCGAAGAGCTCTATGTAGTCTAGCGTTATCGTCCATTTAAATGAACCCAGCACCAACTGCATCCCTGAAAAGGTAAACATAGGGCTCCAAGACCTCATGCCTATACCTCACACTAGTTACAGAGTCTCTTTCAAAGACATGAAGAGGTGTGCGGTCATCCAACGTGATGCCTGCCCCGATCTTTAAGCCTGTTCGGCCATAATGGGTAATTTCGTGGACATTAGAAGATGGGTAGCGGGTCTCTGGTTCTCTCCATAGAACTTACGACAAGAATCGGTGCGTAGGCTGAACTGGGACTCATCAGTAAAGAGAACGGTCACCCATTGATCAATACTTCAATCTCTATGCTCTTTGCACCATGCTGCAGGGACTCTCCTGTTCGTAGAAGTGAGCGGGAAGCAAACAACAGCTATTCTTGCAAACTAAGGCTCCTATACTATCAGAGCTGACCCCCTCTCATGACGTCATTTGGAAATAGTCACCTTTGATACATAGGTTCCTGAGATTGCATACAAGTCATGAGAGAGCTGAAGCCCCCTTGTTACGCCTCGCTATAATGGACAAATGGCGATCTTCTCTGGCCGTCGTGGCTCTTGGACGACCTTGCCTAGGCTTTCTCTTGATGGATCCGATATCCTGGAATGGTTTCTATAAGTTGCTGGCGTTAAATTGAACTCTCTACAAGTCTGGAGCTGAGATTGGCCTGCTTCTAGCCTCCCCACAGTTCATCACCTCATTCCATTATCTAAACGTTGGTGGTTACTCATTTTTACTGTTACAGTTTGAATTTAACCTATTGCTGCAAAATAAGACCAAGAAATTCGTCGAGGTGTGCTAACGAACGAAATGCGTCTTATTTTACGCGCACTCTTAAAGCCTGTTTCTCTAATGGCTTCACCTACACACACGTGTACGCTTACGTATTTGATGTACAAGATTTGCATTTTTAGGGAGAAAAAAAAGTGTGCAAGAAAAGTCATTTGAAGAAATTTTTGTTTCCCACGTGTCATATAAATTCATTAAAATCTTTTTGAAGTAGAATTAATCGCATAATTCATTAGGTAATTGTTATCTTGGAGCCGGGTACAAAAAAAAATTGATAGGAAATAAAATTCAAAAAAATGGTTAGTACCAAAAAAAAGCGATATATTGCAATATCCCTTAAAATACAACTGGTGAGGTACAATTTTTATAAACAATAACAAAGACTTGTTTTTTTTTGCATACCCTTTCCTGACCAACCTGGATCTAAATAACAGTTTATCAAAATGAAGTTGAACATGTACCTAAAGTAGAGTTTAAGTCAGTGACATCAAATAAAGACAAATTCTTGGAAAAGCACTATAAAATACTTGTTTATTTATTTGAAAAACATCGAGGGGCACCATCAAAAACTACATCATCTACATCATCATTACACAACTGGTACATGATTGGCAAGGAATAGAGGCATTAGTGGTGGGGAACAAACATGGAAGCATCTTAGAAGGAAATTTTGCAGATTCTTAAAGTCATTCCGGAGACTTGGTTGTATCCAAGGAATCCTATAAGGAGTAAATTTTGCTGCTTCATTTTGGTATGTAATAGCACCATCAAAAAGGTGATAGCTCCATTTCTCAAAAAAAAAGAAAAAAAAAAAGAGAGAGCAGGGAGAAAAATATATACATCGCTCAACACGGGAGCGGAGTGCAGGGGGGATCACAAATCCTACGCAGACTGATCCAAGTGGTCACCCAACACCCACCCGCACACTGACCGTAGCCAGTGATGCTTGACTTCGGTGATCTGCTGGGAACCGTGTCTTAACGATCAGTCCACTGCGGGACACAATAAATTTGAGAGAGAAAAAATTATGTTTGTGAATCAGAAATCTGATTTAATCTCTGTGTTACATGCAACCTATTCTAACGTTCGAAGTGCTTTATCAGCAAATTGAAAGGTGAAAGACATTCGATTGTTGGGAGGATTAATGACGATCGCAGTACAACCTGTGTAGAAACAAGACTTCAATGTGACGTCATGCTTCTACAGCTCGTTCGATTGTTGTGAATTTCTGTCATATGCGTGAATCGCATGCATCGAGGATGAAAATGAAGTATAATTTCTTAATTTAGAACTAATAATGATGACATAGTTTCATGGTAATTTTAATTCTGGCTGTATAACTAGTCTCTTAATAATTCTATTTCTTATTTTTCTAAACCACGATTTTTATTATATTTTTTTTATCAGTTTATATCGATACTATATACAAACTTGCACTTCGATTTTTGTAGTGTTGTAATAAACATGGCAGATCCTCTTGCGTAGTAGCGACTGCTGCAAATTTTTATTTCGCGTGCAATAATAACTTAATAGACATTAAAGATTCGACAATTTAGTGCGAATTATTTAATATGAGTGTCGACGCATACGGGCCTAGTTCTCAGACTTTAACATTTCTTGATCCAGATGAAGGAAACGATCTGTTAGGAGCAGATACCCAAGGGTCGGACTTCGAATTTACAGACTTTTCCTTAGCATCTCAAACACAAGCATCACAAATTGACCAAAATCAAAGTCAAGCATCAAGAAGTCAGGTAATTATTTATTTAAAAAGTTTGTTTAGATTTGTTCACATGTAGGCTTATCTCCGTTTCCTTTTTTTTGATGTTCTACTTGGTTTATTTACTTTATACTAAAGCTGTAATTGATTATCGACATTTGAACAATAACTTTACGAAATTATTTAAACCCATTGATTATTTCATTGTATGATGTATTATATTCACGGTAGAAGGTTAATATATTTACTGTTATTTGTTTATGTTATGATATATAATACTGTTAATGTTTTCTAGAATAATTTTAGACCGTTTGTTTGTTTTGATTTTGTATAAACCGTTTAGAAAAAAAAAAATACTTGAATTATATGAAATTCATTAAATGCAGTTAACTCTATTCAATGCAGTTAGTTTTTCTCCACTCTATTGTAAAATAATTGTTGCTTTGTTTTTAACTGTGCTGATTATTGATTGGTATATAGTGAGTTTAAATCTAAGTTTTGTGTTTCTATGTTTTTTTTTTTTAACTTCATAAATAAGATGGAAGTTCGTTATAAACAAAAACTAATGAAATTCATTTTGAAATATTTAAAACAAATCAAATATGTTTTGTAGAATTAATATTGCTTAGAATATTGTTTAGTACTTAACATACAAATGCACAATTCAAATGTGACAGAAATGTACCAGAGAGATATTAATTACAAAATTTACTAGTAAAAATGTACCTACGCATTATAATCTTCAATATGATCTCAAAATTCCAGACTGCTTAAAGTGTTTGGAAGGTCCAGATTTCTAACATTTGCAGATTACCTATAGGTGTATTGCCTAAACCAATGGAATTATCAAACTTTTGATGTCACCAGATGTGTGTAATTTGTGTTGTGATTAAATGTGCTTGTGCAGACATTTGAAATTTATTTTAACAGTATATAAATACAAAAGTGTCTTTCAGTCACGAAAAAGTCTCAAATTTCTTGGAGGGGCACAAAAATCCCAAGTTTTTACAAATATAACAAAATATTTGATTTTTAAGCACTTTAACAAGTGGTAACTGAAATTCAAAATTTGCTTGTCCTTAAAATATTGTGTTAATCATGTGAAAATGATACAAAGAAAGATAAATAATGGAAGACAAATGATGGGAGAACGATGGCAATAAGTTGTAATATCATAATATAAGCATCAGCATTTGAAAAACTGTAAAAATGGTAAGAAAAAAGAATTATTGCAAAAATAAAATGCAATGTGAATGTACAATAGTATCATTGTGAATTGATCGTGTCAAAAGCATGTAAAAATGGCTGAAAACAATAAATAACGGCTGAATAAGCGACATGGTTATAAGATAAAATTATTATGAGTTAAGATGCCGAAAAGAAGTACTCAAATTTGTGCTATGAGTTTATAATTAACATTGCATTAGTTATTAAAAAATATGAAAAATCCTGTAAAAATAGTAAAAAGAAATAAAAACCCGATAAATAGCGCATGATAAATGGCCAGCAAATGGTGTGAATTTATGATGGAATTATTGTGAGCTGAGTAGTTACAAGTGACATCTCAATATTCGGAATGTGCATGTTAACATTTTATTAAAAACATGAACATTTGAAAACCTGCATATGGCCGATAAAACTATAATAATTGTAAAAAAAGAAAAGCTATTGAAAATGGGTCTGAGTTAGTGATGGAATTGTTGCAAACTGAGTACATTAAAAAGTGATAACTCAATTTAAATTCGCACGTTTTATAGATACGTTGAAAATGTTTGAATTAGAAGAACAGAACCTTGTGGAAATAAATGAAAAGTAATACAAAGCATACAAATGATCAGTGTAAGACATGGATTTATGATAAAACCAAGAAGAATCAAACTTGCCAAAAGAATAACTCAAATTCGAAATTTGTGAGTTAAAATAACATCAGGATTTAACAAAGATGTGCAAATGTTTTGAAAAATGATCATAAAATGAATTGTATTTCATTAGGAGAAGAATACTTTTCTTTTTTTCAAATTTATATCAATTTCTAATTTAAATCTACATTACATTTCTAATTTAATAAAAAAATGTATTTCAATCATCGCTTTTTTCCATCCCATGTGTAATTCATTATCATTTTATTAAATATCAAAATATTTAAATTTTTTTTCTGAAAATTACTTTATTTCACACTTTTTTCTTGAAATTTTTCTTCACTTTAAAAATGAATCATGTAGTATTTACCATAAGATCTTTAAGAAATATTTTTAAAGAGATGCCTTACATTAATGATATCAACAGTTTCTTTATAAGTGTTTAAACTTTTAAAAAAGTGGTTTTAAAATATGCTACAACTTGGTCAAATTTTTTTAATTTTGCTCTATATTAAACTAGAGTTAAATAAACATTTCTGCATAGAATAAGTTTATAAAAAAAAAAAAAAAGAACATAACTATAGTAAAAAAATAGCTGAGTTTATTTAAGCTTTTATATGTCAATTTCATTTCAATAATGTGTAAATAAGCTTAAACTCTTTGAACATGACAGGAAAAATGGAGAAAAGTTGTTTTATTGAAAAGTTTATTATTATTTTTAATATTGCTTTATTTATCCTTATGCAAAAACATAATTTATCAGTATTAAAGCATATTTATTCGTATTTAAAGGATAAGGTATTCACTTTTGTTGTTAATTGAATTGTGGAGCTTCAAAAGTTATAAATCTTTTCCTATTATATTACATTATTTTCCTTTAATAATAAAGCAAATTGTATAAAACATATCAAATATTTATTAATAAATGAAATTATTATGTGTACAATGGTTACACTCATAGAATTTTTACCTTTTACCAATGTTGAAGGTTTTGGATACTTTAAGACAGTTTTAGTCAGTTTAAGACAGTAAAACCTATGTGCCCTGTCCAAAACCCCATGTGTCCTGTTAGTGTATTATAATACCTTTCAGGTTGTAATTTTTAGCATAATTTAAAAAAACCTGTTTTTGTTATCATGCAAAGTTCAGTTTCGGAAACTACTGTTGCATACCTGTAACGTTTCTGTTGTAGTCTTTCTATCAGTAATTTTACTTTTGAAAGATGCATTCATCATATTCATAATTAACTAAAGAAAAAAAGTAAGTAGGAATTTTAATGATTGTATAAATTTTATTTTTGTCTAGTTGAATGGCCCAGATTTATCACTTACAAATGGCTTAGACCGTGATGTTTGTTCTACTACTCAGACAATAGGAGAGTTGAATTTTCAAGAAGATGAAGAAGATCAATATTACACTAAAGATTTACCTGAACATGCTTGCAAGTAAGGAAATTTCTATAGGTTATCTGGCTATTCACATTTGTCTTTATATTATTATTATTATTTAAAAATAATTTTAAAGTCAGCAAATCTGAGTTTTCTAAAAAAAATCTTGATTTAAATCATTTGATTCTTTTTAAATGGGCTAATTTCAGAGTTATAATTTTGTGTTAAATAATATGCTATTTTCTTTAATTATTAATATTGAAATATTTCCATTAAATTTTCTCTTCATAGAAAAGCAACTGCTTTCATAATTTGTATCTGGTAATTGTTGCATTAAAATAACAAAGATACTTTTAACGCCAGGAGTAATTAAAAAAAAAACAGATTTTTAATATGAAGCTAAAAAAATTTTATACATTAATTTACAAAAAGTTTATTTTAAGTTTTGTAATGGTGCATATTAAATCAATATATCGTAAGTTATGAAAAATATGATACATAAATGTAAATTTTTTTCTTGGTGAAAATATGAAATATGGCTGGGGCACCTAGTTTATGAAATTGTAACTGTGACTAGAGCAATTTATTATAAATGATATTTGGTATGAATAAAGCATGTTATTTTATGCTCTCCTTAAACTACCCATGACATTATTTTTCTCATTTTTTAAATTTGTGATATTTTTTTAAAATGTCGGATGAATTTGAATAACCTAGAGTTGGGCATAAATTTTATTTTTTTAATAAAAAATAGTTAACAGATATTTTTAATAGACTAAGTCCATTCACAGAATAAAGGTACGTGATTTAAAATGTAGTTTCACTTTAGGGAATTAANTTAAACTACTACTTAAACTACTATTATTTTTCTCATTTTTTAAATTTGTGATATTATTTTTTTAAAATGTTGGATGAATTTGAATAACCTAGAGTTGGGCATAAATTTTATTTTTTTAATAAAAAATAGTTAACAGATATTTTTAATAGACTAAGTCCATTCACAGAATAAAGGTACGTGATTTAAAATGTAGTTTCACTTTAGGGAATTAAAATACAGAGATATAAAGAATATTCATAGGCTACTTTTTTTATTGAGTTAAATTGAAATTCCATCAGCCTACTTGTACTACAGTGTTATTAAAATCTGTTGTTCTATTTTGTTTTCTATTAAACTATGCCGGTAATATCAACATTTTTGAATTTTTATTCTAGGTATTGTGGAATTCATGATCCCAGTTGTGTTGTGCAGTGCAATGTTTGCAAGAGATGGTTTTGTAATGGACGAGGTAATACTTCAGGGAGGTCAGTATGATATTCTTTCTATTTTGTTTTTGTTATTTTTTGTCAGAATGGTTTTAAATAAATATATTTCTTAAAATGGGCACAGTTAAATCTTTAGAAAGTGAGTCTACTATTAGTCTTTTTACGTTATTCATATGTACATAGCCGCCAACTTTACTGGGTTTTCCAGTAGACTACTGGATTTTGCTTGTTTTTCATGGTTTACTGGTTTAATAAAAATTCTCATGATTTTTGTACATTTTAACAAATTCCTTAAAATTGTGTAAGTTTCCTAAAAAATTCCTATTAAAAAATTTTTTTTGCACAGATTATTGCTTGTGATGAATATTTAAATAGGTATTACTAATACATAATGAAGTGTTTCTCATTTTTAAAGATCAGTTTAAAACTTTTTTTGTTCTAAAATGTTCAGTTTATTTTTATTCAGAACTCCTTTTTTTAAATTAATTAAAAATTCTTTTAACTTTTTTTAAAGAATTTAATGACCATTACTATTTAAAATTATGAGTAAACATAATATATATCATTTCAGGCATATTTAATGTCAATCAGAACTGGAAAATATTGCAGTTTTTCTATTTTGATGTCTATAAAATTCCCTATGTGTAAGACATTAAATATATTATACAACAAAAAATTCATTTTATCATAAAATTCATATTATTTTGTAAAATTTACTGAATTCTTACCTATGCATGTTGGCAGCTATGTATTTTCTTCAAATATTTTATTACAAGGGATCCTTTATGATGGTAAATATTTTATATACTTCACCCAGCTAGCTCAGCGTTTAATTAAATGGTTAATCATTCTGAGTTTCATATTTTATATATTTGTTATGCATTTTATGTTAAGATGCAGTTTTGTTCTTGCAGTCACATAATAAACCATCTTGTTCGTGCAAAACACAAAGAAGTTACTCTTCATAAGGATGGCCCCCTTGGTGAAACTATCCTAGAGTGCTACAGCTGTGGTTGTAGAAATGTATTTGTCCTCGGGTTTATTCCCGCCAAAGCAGATTCTGTTGTAGTTTTACTTTGCAGACAACCCTGTGCAGCGCAAAGCAGTTTAAAAGATATGAATTGGTAAGTACGTTTTAATGCTAACGTTGCAAGGAAAGAGCTTGGTTTCTGAATTTAGTCCAGGGTTTGAAATCTATATTTAAATCTAAATATCTGATTTAAATAAAGTGATTTCTTAAAGAAAATAATTGATTTAATTAAAATTAATTTTTTTTAAAAGAAATCATAAATCATTCAAAATTTACAAAGCATTTTAATGTAATTTTGTTTTAAATTTTTATTGATTTTCATAGATTTAAAATTTATTATTGTATTTATTATAATTACATTAGTTCTTGGTGTGTAATAAATTATAGGCTTATTTAAGTCACATTTTAAAAATCCTTTAAGTTTTTTTTAGAATTTCTCATAAAGCAAATTAGGAAAAACAAGGCAAAATTTAATGAAAATTTTTACTATATTCATTCATTTATAAGAATATAGATTGTTTTTTTAACTGTAGCATTTATTTTTATAACAACTAATTTTATATTTACTAGGGATCCTGACCAGTGGAAACCACTTATAAGTGATCGCAGTTTCTTAGCATGGTTAGTAAAAGTACCACAGGAACAAGAACAGTTACGTGCAAGGCAGGTTAGTGCAGCACAAATTAATAAGCTGGAAGAGTTGTGGAAGGTAAGTTTCACTACTTTTAAGATATACAATATTTTACATATTTGCAATATTTTACATATTTACAAAAAGTAAATTTAATAATTTCTATCCTGTGTTATGTAGAAAAAGGACCAACTTCCATTTATTGCTCTAAATTCTCTTTTTAATAATTAAGATCACAATATATAGTACATAATAAATATCTCAATTTTTATGTTGTCAAATTATATTTTATTGTTCAGTATCATGATTATTTTATAAAAAATTTTCTTGAAATTTATGTAACAGTAACACCTTTTTTACTTTGATAACACTTAATTCTTCATCAAAATTTTTAAATTTTATTTTATGACTGTACTCTGAGAGGATGAATTTTATAGTTTGTATTTATAACTCATAGAGAATTTTAGCATTATATTTTTGTGTGATTATTACCCCTTTAATTATTCTTTGAAGACCAAATTGGCAAGTTAAATTATTTCTTTCCTATATAATATAGTTATAAATGAGAAAATTGGTTATTCTATGTAGATATATTTGTATCAAAATGCTTGAGCCTGTTAATTTTCAGTAATAATATTTTGATTATGTAGCTTTTTATTTATGTAACTTTTTATTTGTATACCAATGATTTGACTGGCTTATAAAGTGTATTTCACACTTTTGTATTTTATCTTTAGTTAACCTTTTTGATATTCTCTTTATTTTACCATATGAAATTGAAATTGTTTTTTTGTCATTTTAGGATAATGTGGACGCCTCTTTTGAGGATCTTGAAAAGCCTGGAGTTGATGAGGAACCACAACAAGTACTTTTAAGGTATATTTATTGCTATTAATTCATTCTGTAATGAATTTAAAGATTTCTTTTTGTGTAAGTTGTATCAGCTGACAACTCGAAGTCGGACTCATTAGTAGAATGTATATTTTTAAATTAGTTTATGAAACTGTTGATGAAATACCAAGTTTGATATTTTTTTCTTAATTTATATTTCATTGTACTAGATGCCTGGTGTGTCAAGTTTGTCACTCTATAACCTCTATCAATTGTAATTGTATTCCAAGTGTACCATGGAATTCTAGGTTATTTTTTTTGTCTTGTCCTTCTGGATTTTGAAACAAGGGGCGAGATGCGATTTTCCACTAATTCATAGAATTTTGCATATTTCAAAACCGGTGGTACGAATTGTTTATTCCTTTCCTTACCGTGCACCCCCTTTTTTTACCTGAGTTTTCATTCATATGCTATAATTTTTTAAAAACTCAGATTAGCACAAAAACAATTGTAGGAATATCACCAAAACCAATTTGTAACATTTATAGTACAAAATATAATTTTGAAAAAGAGTACTTTTAAAAAATTGCCACTCCAAAAGTGGTTCGTTTTTAATGTTATAGCATAAATTATATTAAAATAATTATATATAATATTATTATTTTATTATTATAACTTATATTTCATTAAAATGTGACATGATAAAGCATGATTAATTTAATCCATTTGATTAAGAATGATCCAATTGATCCAATGATTAAGAATGATTTGCTTGTAAATTCACTTGGTTTTGCAGTTAACTTCATTAATTAACTGCAGTTCTCCTTTTATGCAGTTAACTTCATTGCATTTCAAATTCCGTTTTTTATTTTATTTTTTTAAAAAAAATTATGATTTTCAAAATGTAAAGCAACGGAATATGCAATTTTTTTTCAATGTGAGAAGAGAATATCTCCCCCATAGTGTAGATCCAGGGCTGCAAACTTACTTGATTTGCCGTAAAACTTTTCCGTACTCTTGAGATGTGGGGAAAAAATGCAATAATTTTCTAAATACAAGATTTGGTAGTTAGAAGGATGAAAATTTGTTGTTTATCATTGATAAGTAATTGATTTAGGGTGTTGTTTATTATTGGTAAATTATTAAAACATAAATCTTCAAAATATTGTAATAAGCATGTAGTTTGTAGAATTATTTGTGTATTATGTTTTGTGCATAAATTGATAGCAAATTTTGGCATATAAAATTTTCGCGATTTTTCACTTTCTGTCACAATTACACCTTCTCTGCGCAGTTCAACATTATCCTTCAACTGCTTATTTTTTTTACTACCCTCTGGTCTAGATTAATAAAAAAGGAATGAAATAAACTGTGGAAGAAAGAAAAGGAAATGTTATAGGATAAAATATTATGTAATTAAAAAAAAAAAGCAGAAGAAAAATGTCTCAATTGCTAAAGAGGGAGAAAAAAATTATAGAATATTTCAATTATAAGAAAGGTTCATAAATTATTTATTTTACTTCTAACTGGACTAATGAGCAAAGTTTTAAATAAATTGTTACGTATTTAGCATTGAAAAATATCTTACCCTGTCAAAAAAAATTTTTTTGCATTTGAAGGCAAAAAAATAAACAAAAAGTATTTGATATATTAATATTCAAGAGTGAAAAAAATATCGAAGCATGGTTAATATCTTTGAATGCATTCAAAATTATTCGACTTCCATTGACTTTTTTTAAAATGACAATCTTGGATTTATATAACAGCTTTACAAAATGGTAAAATTATTAGAAAGGCTGTCAAATTTATTATGTTATGTGGCCACAAAATAATGAGAGCAAGGAATTTTATCTAGAAAAATCAAGAAATTTAACTAAAATGTCCTACAAAAAGTAAATTAATTTATGTTTAAAGTACCTGGAAATCTGATGTTAATAATAAAAAAAAATTAGTATTGCAACGCTTTTTTAATTTTATTTTCAACTGTAATAGCATATATAAATGTTTATATGTTTCGTGTTTAAGAATAGTACATAATTGAAAAATTAATAATAAAATTTATCTTGCCAGGAAATCAGGGAAATTTGACAAAACCAGTCTGGTAAAAGTGTATCAATTTTTTTTTAATTCTGAGTGTTCATGACTACCCTTCTGAGTGGTCTGACTACCCTTTCATGAAATTTTTATTTCTAATAGTGAAACATCAAAAATAAAAAAATAAAAACCATTTTAATTCTGTTTAGATAATTCCTAATTATTGATTTTTGTTTTGTTTTGAATCTTAGGATTTTTTAAATTCCAATATTAGTATATTATATCTATTCATTATGCAGGTATGAAGATGGGTACCAATACCAGAATATATTTGGACCTTTAGTGAAAATGGAAGCAGATTATGATAAGAAATTGAAAGAATCTCAAACCCAAGATAATATTGAAGTCCGATGGGATATTGGTCTTAATAAAAAAATAATAAGCTATTTCACTATTGCTAAGTCAGATACAGGTGATCTATTTTACTTTTTTCTGTGATATATTTTGTTTTGTTTTGAATCTTTGGATCTTGTTTTGAAAAGTAGCTTAAATTTATACAAATTTATTGTATTGTAAGTTTAAAAAGTTTTCATCTCTACTTTTTACCTTTTTTTTTTAAAAGAAAAATTTTAACTCAGAATTTTAAAAATTGACTATAAATTATATTTTTAGGAGTTGATTTGAGTATTTATACTAAATTGTATTTGATTAAAAAATTGGTCTATTTCTAATTCTTAATTCCGTATTTTTAATATGTGATAGGTTAATTTAATCATATAAATAAAACTTGATTATGTTTTTTGTTGTTTAAACAGTTATTTTTTGATTCTTTTTTATTATCAGTTTTACTAGACTCTTTTACATATTTCGTAAAATTAGTTATTTTAATTTCCTAAAAGAATAGTAAAATAAATTTTTTTTCCAAATGCTTTTCAGCATACGCTTATTCAAAACTAATGTATTAAATAGTAGTGTAAAAATTAATAATATTATTAAAATTAGATTACAATTATAAATTGGTTAAAAAAACTTTTTTAATATTTTATTTATATGTATTTATAAAAATTTGTGTCGATGAAATGTTATTTTACTGTTTTATTTTTCCTTGTTTGCTAACAGTATTTGCTTATTTTGTATGTTACTTTTGATTAGATATGCGCCTGATGCACGGAGATGAACTGAGACTTCGTTATCTCGGAGAACTTCACAAGCCATGGTCTGGCGTTGGACATGTTATTAAGATTCCAGACAGTATCCTTTTTATAACAATATTGAGTGTTTATTATTATTATTATTTTTTTACTATCCATACCGAACACTTTGTAAAGTTTTAGTCAAATTTTTGACAATTTTTTATGCCAGCATTTTTTTTCTTTTCTGTGCATCAAAAAAGAAAGACCACAATAGATAACTTTAGATCTAATGATTAGATCTTCAAGTTGAAGAGCTCAATCTTGATGTCTTGAAGGGGTGGGTGACCTCAAATATTCTAAAGAATTAGTACAAGCTATATTTTATGTTACAAAATCACACACAAAAGTGTACTCTGAATAAACATAGCCTTTTTTTTAACGAATTCAGATTTTTGAGGATCCCCCCCCCCCAAATTAAATATGGTCTCCATAGTTTGGTTATTAGAGCGATCCTAAGTTTGAACCCCTCAATATTAGTTTTACTTTTTGTGTATTTCAACATAGCTTGAGAACTTCTTAAGCGAATTGGAAAAATTATGTACGCAAATATAAACTTATTTACACCTTCAAATCATTAAGACTGAGTCCAAGAACATGAATATCATGAAGTTCATTTGATCAAAAGTTGTTCAAAGTCGTCCTTTTTTTGGCGCACTGTACGTCTACCAAAATGACAACTAAGATATTCACAGGCATGAGTTCATACTTAAATATGCAATTTTTATGTTATCGTGCAATTAGTTAGCATAGAGCTTGTAATTGTCTTGATATTTTTAATTTCCTGGTTAAAAGTATTTTTTTGTTTTGTTTTTGATTTTAAGTTTTCTTTCCTGATATTACCGATTTTTGTGTAATCTTCTCTACTAATGCAGATTTTAAAATGGTTATTTTGAAGAATGATAAGGTTTGGATTTTCAATCGACCATCTTTTTTTTCTCCAACTATTGATACTAGTAGAAAATGTAAACTTTGATCTTTTATGCTTGGAAACTATCAAATGGTTTGAACAAAAAGCCCTATTCTTGCAGGTCACATTAGGACAATATTTATTCGGATACAAATGTGGATTTTTAAAAAACAAATTTGAAGAATTGAAAGTTCTTGATTCAATATTTTTATATACAGTACAGAACCCGTTATCCGGATATCAGTAAACTGGAAAACCAAAAAACCGGAACGAAATTCGTTAAATTTTCCCGCCATTTTTTAAAATTTTTTTTTTTTTTTCCTCATAAGATTTTAGGATATTTCTTTCTTTTTCTGAAAGATGTTTACCTTACCATCATTTTGGAAATAATCATTAGTGTATTACTTTGTTTTTTCAAGATTATTTCCAAATATATTTTTTTAGTTGGGTTTAACAATAAAAAAACGGCTTTTCGTAGCTATTCAGAAAACCGGAAAAATCAGTTATCCGGAATAGCGATGGTCCCGATCATTCCGGATAATCGGTTCCCTACTGTATTTGGGGTAAATTTTTTAAAAATAATTTTTTAATTTTATTATAATTTTTATAATTTAGGGATCGACTACTGATTATTTACTTGGTTGTGGCATATATACCCACATGATTTTTTGTTTAAACCTTTTTTGTAAATTCGGTCATTTTATGAAAAAAATTAATTTACAGTTTTTCAACAAAAAAATTTTATGTTGATAAATTAAGGAGTCATATGCTGTCTTCATTAGTTTAAGCAAATGCTGTATTAACTGTTGTGTGACGTGTGATAAAAATAATTTATTTTAATAAACGGTGCAGTAATCATATGAATACATTCACAAAATAATTAATAGAAACTTTGTCTTCTCTGTATTGCTCTTTTTTAAATTTTAAAAGATAACAACAGAATTACTTACTGATTTCTTTATTTAAAATATGGCAAATTTATTGCTAACTGTATTGCATTAAAAAATGTTTTTTACGTCATTTATTAAATTACCAATTCATATCTCAAAGGTCTTGTGTGTATTCTTGCATGTTGAATTTTTTGTGTGCTTTTTTTCTTAATTTTTTGTTCAGACTACAGTGAAGAAGTTGGAATAGAAATGAAAACCAATTTAGGTGTACCATCTGAGTGCACTTCTAACTTTGTGGTGGATTTCGTTTGGAAATCAACTTCCTTTGACAGGTAATTATTCTTTTCAATTTATCTTATCTGCTGACGTGCTAAATTTCCTGCATTTCGCGTTCTTCTCCCACCCTCTGGAATCAATCTGAAAATCTGCCCGGTTGGTTCCGTTCCCTACTTAACATTATGTCCCCTTTTGTTGAACTACCAGCTGGCTGAAGCGCAGCTGCATCATGGTGCATAGCGTTTTTAAAAGGTGCTTATTTTCGATTTTCATTCTTTAAAAGCCCTTTAATGTGCTTTTTTCATTGGGTGTTTTTAAAAGGTGCTTAATTTTCCCTTTTTCAAAATGAGATTTTTTCCCATTCCATGTTGATTTTCGCTACGAATTATGCAAAAAGACACCGTTCACATTGTTCTATTCATTGTTTTCACAATTAATTTAACCCCAATCTATTTCAGCCTATTGTCAGTCCCTAGCGTATGAAAACGCTATTTGTTTTACCCTATTCTAAATTTCATGATTTTTGACAATTGTCTAAAACAATGCCAAAAGTTTTTTTTTTTTTTTTTTTTTGACATGACGGTTAAAACCAGGTAAAACCATCAATTGTCAAACTTTTCAACCCTGCCTAGTTATGTTATTTTTTTAAAGTGCTTAAAAATATTTTTTTGAGTACTTGAAAAGTGCTTATTTTTTGTTGAATAATTTAGCTACGCACCCTGCTGCATGCACTCTATTTTTATTTTCACTCTTCAACATTACCCCTCTCATCTCACACTCCTATTTAACGCGCCCCTTTACTAATAGGACTCATCGGAATCTTTTCCCTTCCCTATCGTGTGGGTAAATGTATGAGATAACGTCTCAGAACGATATTGATTGACAATAGTCAGATGCGATATAGATTTCAACTGTCAAGAGTCAAATTCCCTCCCCCGTCTGACTCTAGATAGTTGAAATGGATGTCATATCCTGCTGTTTTCAAATACTTTTTAGTGTGTAATTTTTCAACGGTTTGCAAAAATGGGATTGTTTTTTTCTTCAGCCGTTAGCAGGAGACTGATGTAAGCCTGTTTATTCACTGAATCAACGTGGACTGCATCAAGATTTTCATTTTCATATATTTAACCAAAAAATGTTTTTAGGATGTCTAAATCCAAATGAAAATATGCAACTTATTATAACCAATCCTTTACCTGTGAATTTCCTTCTATTATTGCTGCGGGATAAGGAAACACGCATGCTTTTTGTTCGGATTGTGCTTGTGATATTTTAATCGCTCATAAAGGCAAGAAAAATTAGCATTGCATGTAAATGGGCAAAAGCACTAAGAAGCTCTAAAATATTTGCAAGGTATAGAAAAATTTCTATGCACACTGACGGTGAGTCTGTTATAAGGGTTGAAGCATACATAACTGCATTTTTGATAGTGCACAATTTGCCCATAAATTGTGCTGGCCATTGTTTTGGAAAATGATTCTGAGCGATAGTATTGCAGAGAAATAGCGGATAGAACAGAAAAAAAGTCATTGTAAGCGAAATAGTTGCGACTGAAAAATAATCTGTGATAGAAATAATAAAACAATATTCATCTTCAGTATCAGCTGATAATAGCAACATGTCGAATGTAAAATTGTATCCCCTTGTTACATGCTACAATGAGAAAACTATGACAGCTGTGCGCACTTTGATGTCTGTCGAAATTAAGAAACTCGAATATAACTACTGCCTATTTAATTTTAAGAGTGTTACAACAACACTGTTGATTAAACTTTACATTTCTTCCACGATTTGTTTTCTTTTATAGTGTAAGATTTCTTGCAATCTTATCAGGGGTCTGTCCAGGCCAAATTTATTACCGTTTAGTGTTACCTTCACAAATTCAATTTTAGGAAAAAATACTTTTTTTAAAAATTTTATTCTTGTATTCCATAAGAAACGATAAATCCATATTTTTACCACATTTTTGTGTTGATTTTTTAATATAATTTTTAGTTTTCACAAATTATTTCTAAATTTTCACAAAATAGGTACCTTACAGAAAATCCTAAACAGACCTCTGCTTATATTTATTAGGTTTTTATTTAAAATATTTTATTCAAAGTGATGAATATGTCTCATATCTTACCTTTTTTATCCCTCCGGAGTTCTTGTTGAGGAATTGCTTGCCAGGTTGGCATGTCTGTATCTGTATTAAGAAAGTACAGGGGAAATCTGTTCTAAATTTTAAATTATTTATGTTAAATTTAGAAAAATATTAAATTCTTATACTGCCAAAAATCCCCTAATATTCAAAGCAATTAGTTTTTCGGAATTTAAAATTTGCTTTATGCAAAGTTGCTACAGGTTGAGGAATTGTCCGGAGGTTTAATATTAGGAAAGTGCTATTTTTTGAAAAAATATATGAAGGAATCCTGTTACATACCTGGAAAATAACAAATTTCAAACTTCTAGGTAACAATTAGTAGCCAATAAAGTTCATCATAAATGAGTAACATCTTTTTTTATTACTTCATGGAAAATTTTGCTAAAACTTTGTTGAATTTCTCTAGATTTATTTTATAAGAATACTTATTTCTAATTTATGAAAGTTACCCTTTTAGCGCTTATGTTTCTAACTTTTCTTAAAATTTTATATAATAAATCATAATCGTCCTTATAATACTATATTTATATTTCAGTTAGACTATATTTTTAAAAATTGGTTTTTAATTGGTAAATAATTTTGTTTTTTTACAAGTATAACAAGTAGGATATATACATGACTCTGATTGATGCAACTCTTTCTAGTTTTCTCGTGAAACATTGATATATAATTTATAGAGTGTAAACTTTCGCCAAGTGAAATTTAATTTTTTCAGTTGGCAGCATAGCTTTTTATATTTGACTTAATTATTATCTAAAAGTAGGTTTTTGTAGTATAAAAAAATGTAATTTTAATGAACTTTTACTATATATTGCAAAAATGTAATGTAGAAGTTACTTGAAATGTTTTGGGAGAAACCGGAGTATTTTATTACTTGTGGGAACCCTCTTATAAAAATAATGAACCTTCTTTCGTCCCTTCTTAATTAGGTTTTACTGGTGTTTGTAATCGTTGAGTAATTTATTGCATTAATGTTTTAAATTTATTAATTTAATGCTAATTTTATATGTAGTGTTCTTTTGTTTTAGTTGTAAGTGGTATAAGTTTAAAAATCCTAAATTTTGTTTTTGTTTAGAATGCAGGCAGCTTTGAGGAAATTTGCTGTTGATGAAACTAGTGTCTCTGCTTATATCTATCACAAGCTGTTGGGTCATGAAGTGGAAGACGTGACCATGAGAAATCAATTGCCAAAACATTTCTCTGCTCCAAATCTTCCAGAACTCAATCGATCTCAAGTCTATGCTGTAAAGCATGCCATGCAAAGACCCTTGTCTTTGATTCAGGTACAATATCTTTAAAAGAAAATTTTTAATATTTTTTTTTAAGGTTTTTAAGAGGAAAATAAAAATTATTAGATAAATTTTTCTTTCTTTCTTTCTTTATATTTTATAAATGTTACTTTTGTGCACATAAATGAGTTTCATATCTGTCTTCTATGTACAGAAAAAAAGAAAAATAAACATGTAAGAAAATTTCAGATAATTTCTTCTCCCAGCTATCACATGTGAATTTCACATGTTAATTATGGATTCACATGTAATGTGCATTCGCATGTGAATTTCAATTTTTGATTCGAATACAATTCATGGAATTTGTAATAACATTTAAAAAAAAATATTTTCCCTGTAGTCACTAGAGTAACAGAAGAGTGACTAAGTAAAGGTTATTGCAAGGTAAAGCAAGGCATCTTTTGTTGCATCTTAGATGTGTTTTATTAAGTAAAACACGTGTATTTTTCCTAAATAATTATAAGTTTGATTTTAAATATATTTTGTGATAAATGAGTGGGGGGAATATACTTGAAAAGTTTTTGATGGTTGCAAGAAAAATGCTGCACATACCCATGGGCCATATATCATAATTATTTTTTGAAATACATAAAGGAAAATAGTTTTATTTCAGACTTTATTTCGTTTGAATAATAAGTTTGTTATTTTTCTTTTAGGGTCCTCCAGGAACTGGCAAAACGGTTACTTCAGCTACTATAGTTTACCACCTGGTTCGCCAAAATAATGGACCTGTTTTAGTGTGTGCTCCAAGTAATATTGCTGTTGATCAGCTAACAGAAAAAATCCATAGGACTGGTTTAAAGGTATGTGTATACAGAATAACTCAATTTTTTAAAAATATATTTGCAGCCTTGTTTTCCACATCTATTGGAGTTATTGATGCAATCATCCTGTATCATTGCATTGTATGGAATCAGCAATGATATGAAATTTCAATTAATTTTCCCTAGTGGCACGATCTAGATAATCAGAAATTCAGCTAATTAGATTATCCATTAAAATTACATCTATTCAAATTTCTGCTATAATGTTTGCCAATTAGTTTGTTTCTAACTGATTGCAGCTTGGATAGCTGAAGTTTTTGAGTGTATATATTATTATTAGTTAGTGAATTATTTTTTTCCAAGTGAGGTTGCTATTTAAAACTTTATTCTATTTTTTTAAGGTTGTTCGGTTATGTGCCAAGAGTCGTGAAGCCATTAATTCTCCTGTATCCTTTCTTGCCTTGCACAATCAAATCAGAAATTTGGAAGGGTTTGTAATCTTTATATCTAATCAATTTTATATTAAATTCAGAAATTAGTAAAAAAAAATTTATTTTTTTATTAACTATTTATATTTTTCTTTCTAAAGTCATTCCGAATTGCATAAATTACAACAACTCAAGGATGAAACGGGTGAGCTATCCTCTGCTGATGAGAAACGATATAGGATGTTGAAGAAAGCCTGCGAAAAAGAACTTTTAGAGGTATGACAATGATATTTATAATTATTATGCTTTTTTAGTAGTCGTCCTAAAACTGTTTCTTTTTTTTACTCAAAAAAAAATTCTATGTTTTACTGAATAACAATGCACTGACATTCTGCTTTTCTGTGGATCAGAAAAATTCGGCAGTTTTTGATGAAATATATAATTAACAAGTTGCTAAGATTTAATACATTAGACCTAGGGGAATGTCCATAAATATTGCCTGACCTCTATTTAACAAAGTTGCTAAATATAAAATTCTATTTATTAAATAACTTATTCTTATTTTCACCAATACTTATTTTAAAAAAATTACTAGAACTGTTCGAAATATAATAAGATTTTAAAGTCAGCAAGTATGACATTCATAAATGGTGAAATTGTCTTATTGGAAATAAAAATATTATATATATTAAAAAAAAGACTGCTAATGAAGTGATTGTGTTCCAGTGTGGCAAAATCTATGTATAGATATATATACCAAGTTTATTATTCTTAGTTATATAATATAAAATTTTTAGCACTTGATATCTATTTACTGAATTTCATGAGTAACTAGTTAACATTCAAGTACGAAAAAGTAAAATCTGTGTCAACCTTTTCATCTCACTTTGGATTTTTCCTATGATTGACACCTTAGCTTACGGCACCTAGTATTCATCATATTCTCAAAAGGGTTTTTTAATTAGATTTTTATTTTATTCTTAAAACTTTATTTGAAGAGAAAAAAAGGAGTGTGTGGTTAAAAATAATCAGGAATATTTACTCTACTTGATTATTTGAATAGACTATTGCGAGTTTTAAAATTTTAATTTATTTTTAGTATTTATGTGTCTTAAATGGGGTAATTTAATTATTTTTTTTAGGTGTATGGAATGCCACTTAATCAATGAAAATTTAGATTAAAATATGTGTTTTTCTCTTTTATTTACATGTTTTAAAAATCTTGCCTAACTTTTCAAAGGAAGAAAGAGAGACAGAAGAAAGAGTGAAGGATTTTTAGGAGAAGTAGGATATGCAGGGTTGCCACTACACAGGGAGAATAAGGAAAACCTGGAAAATACAGGGAATTTAAAAATCACCTAACATGACAGGGAATTTTGAGTTCTTTACAAACTGGGGAAAATACGAAAAATTTTGTTTCTTATTTTCGTCTTTTAATAAATGGTGACCACTCAAAGCGTAATCTATGGGATATTTAAGTATGTTCAGCAATTAAAACTAATAAATATAGTTAGCTCAATATAGCTCATACAAGAGCACAGTAATTGTTGTGTATCCTCTTTATATTTTGTGTATATGCAGAGAAAACATGTGGAATTTTTTTTCTTTTTTTAATTAATCTAAATTTTTATTCATAAGAAAATATAAATTTATGAATAAATCTACCCTACTGTACCAAAAAGTTTCCAAGTTGGAACGAAGCTAATTAAAAATCTATATTTGTTTAAGTGTGTGTAATTGAAACTGTCTTTTTAAGGCTGCTGATGTGATATGCTGCACGTGTGTCGGAGCAGGTGACCCTAGACTTGCCAGGTTCAAGTTTTATTCCATATTAATAGATGAAAGCATGCAAGCTACTGAACCTGAATGTATGGTGCCTGTTGTTTTAGGTGCCAAACAGGTATGGTTTAAATGAAATTGTTTAATTTATTTTAAATTGCTTATCATTCTCGTATAATTCAAGTTAATTATTAAGGAAAATTTATTCTTTTATTTTATTCTGCAGTTTTTCAGGTTTTGTATGGGCTCTTTAAATCCAGGGTATCCTGGAAAGTCATGGATTTCGATATTTAACAAAATTTGTCATGAAATTTCATGATTTTAACTATTTTTTAAAAATAAATAAATAATGGAAAGTCACGGATTTAGGTCGCCAAAAAATTTCAATTTTTAAAATGAAATTTACCACCCCACCTCTTATTTCATGGTGTTCCTTACTTCATTTGTAACAAAATCTCCACTCACTGTCATATATTATTAAAATATAAAATATTTTTATCGTGTTCTTTAAAAATTATGGTGTTCTTTCAAAAAGTGAAAGGAAGACCGTAATTTCTAGAGCGAATTATCTTTTAAACTTCTCTAATTTAAGAATTTTTTTTAATTATTTATTTTTCTTTTATTTTATCAATTTTTAAAATTCTAGCTGAATTAAGCCAGTAGGCGAATTATTTTTTTCTGAAATGAGAACAGAAAAAATCAGTCAGGAGTATTACTTTCCTTTCCCGATGAACGAGAAAAGTATCTTTCAAAGTCAATTCTGCAGAAAAAAAGACATTTTTTTTTATTTTTTACTTTTGCATTTTTTTTTTGGCTATCTTATTGCTTCAACTCTTTCTTAAACCTGTTTTTTAAATTTAAAATCTATAAACATGAAGATGCAGAATATAACAGTTTTGGTTATACCTATCATTTCAATTAATGTTATTAACATGCTTTTTTAAATTTATTGTTGTATTTTTGTCTGAGAAAATACTAACTTCTTTAAATCATGAATTTTTTTTTGGAATTAGTCATGAAAAGTTGTGGATTCGAATATCAGAAATGTAGTATATTGCCCTGTAAATCCCTATGAAGGCACTATGTCATGGGAGAAACATACTTTTCATGTTGAATTCTTTTTTATCTACATAAATGATTCAAAATTTAAAGTATAGAAAAGTGAGTTCAGATAAATTTAGAGTAAAGCATTAAATATCAAACTCTGAAATTTTATTTCTTCTAAATTATTGCTGGATTATTCAGAATAAAAGAATGGAAAGTAATCCTGTAAAGATTTATATGCATTTTTGATATTTTCGAAATATTTTTTTTTCTGCATTCAAAACTTCATGATTTTTACTTTGAACTTATTTTGCTCTTAAATTAAGTATTAGAATAACAATAGATGTGAAACAGAATTTGGTATGACAATTTTTTCAAAAACAGAATTTTTTTTTGGGGGGGGGGTCCAAATATTGCATATCTCTCCCCTAATTGCCAAAACTCAAGCCGCTTAAACGATAGCAGTACTTGGGACGAACTTTTTTTCACTGCAGTAGCCTCCTGAGAAAGAATGATCCTCAGGTGAAAATGGGTGGAGCTTCTGCAGGTGTGCCATTGCTTTGACAACGCGATTCAACTGTAGATCGGATGAGGTTCTTGTTGTTGAGTTCTTAACGATTTTGTTTTGACCCCTGATATTTGATCCAGGTTTTTCCTTATTGGTTCGACTCTCATTGAGTTTGCATACCTGTACATAGTTCTCTTGACTTTACCAGTTCTTATTTTTAGCCGTCTCTGCAATTGTTCATGCACTATTTGTTTTTTATTTACTTCTGTCCATCATAGGATTAATGTATTTTAACAATGGAGGTCAGTTTGATAGATGAACTAAAAGGTACGATCGATGCTACTGAAAAAAATAAATTCAAGTTTGATTGGTTAAATAAAACAGTCCAAGTGACTAAAACTGTTAGTAACAATCTTTCAGAAGATATTGAGGTGAAAATTAGCGACTGTTTTAATTTAGAATGATTTACTGGCAATTAATTTAAAATGATGATTATTAAGTAATTATGATGATTATTAAGTATGATGATTATTAAGTATGATGATTATTAAGTATAGTAGTAGTCAAAAAAGTTTAATTGTATAAGTTCAACTTTTTAAAAAATTTTTGTTCACTTTTATGCCTGGCTATATCATTCTCTTAAAGATAGTTCTCTTTTTAAAGCATTTCTAAACTTATTTTATCCTTTTACAGCTGATACTAGTGGGTGATCATTGTCAGCTGGGACCTGTTGTCATGTGTAAAAAAGCTGCAAGAGCTGGTCTCTCACAATCCTTGTTTGAGAGATTGGTTGTTCTGGGAATAAGGCCTCTGAGGCTGGAGGTGCAATACAGAATGCATCCTCAACTTAGCAAGTTTCCATCCAACTTTTTCTATGAAGGTTCTCTTCAAAATGGAGTTTATGCAGGTAAAATGATTTTATTTATTATTCTCTTTACAGGAGCTTTTAAGTTAAAACAGGAGCTTTTAGGTTAAAATAATCTTTATTGTGATAAATGTTTTCGTGATCTAAACCAAAGAATTATTATAGTATTTTATTAATCTTCAAAAATCTGGAAATTTTATTTAGATGAGCCAAAAACCAGGGAGAAAGAACTATTGGTTTGGGTTACTTTAAGAACCTTCAAGATGGATGTCCCCCCTCCACAAAAAATGCAAAATAAAGTAAAACAGATGCATCAAACAGTGCTTAAATTTCTAACACTTTGTTTTGCTTCAATTTCTTATATCATAGGGGTCTGTTTCGAAGAAATTTGGGTCCGTTAAGGGACCCTTCACAAAATATTTTAACTTAAAAACGGACCCTTCACAAATTCGTTTATCTTCGTTATTGTTTTGTTAATCGAATAAACCCTTCCCAAGGAGGAAAAAAAAAGAAAGATGTAAATTAATTAAGTTTTGCCTTTGGCAGACGCTTCTTCCTATATTCGTCTGAAATGAATATTCTGCGTTTAACAGTATAGGCTAAATACCAAGTATTTGTATGTTGCATCTCTTATTTAGAAGCAGCAATTTCTGTTTATTTTTGAAAATGTAATTTTTTTAAAATTATAGTTCTACAGTGTTGAGCATAATCTTGTATCGATTTACAATTTAAAAACTCCTTGAAAAAGTTTTTTGCAATAAGGACCCTATTTGTATAAATTCATCAAAACAGGACCCTGGTTGAAAGAATGTGACTTAACGTTTATTTTATATTCACAAATTACGAGTAATTTTTTCACAATTTTACAGAAACGAACCTTTCACAAAATGTCTGGACAGACCCCTGTATCTACTAAAGGCTTTTCACCTCATTAGTATATCAGTATTCTAAAAATCTTATAAATTTTTTATCTTCTCCAAGACTTGATATTCATGTGAAATATATTTATAAAAAGTAGGGATCTGAAGATAAAATTTTAAAAACATACAAAGCTCTTTTAAAACCATATCAAGATCTTTGGTAAAAACAGATTCACTTCTAAAGATATTTTTGCGCAGAAAGATATAACATAACATTAATAATGTTATAACAGATATAACATTTAATAACAGATATAATAACATTCAATAACAGATTTAATAGCATTTAATGACAGATATAATGATATTTTGATATTTAATAACAGGTAATGTAACAGATATAACATTTAATAATGTTAATAATTAATCCTATTAAAAATATATCTCCATAAATAAGAAAACAGAATTTCCCCAGCAGTTATGCTAACTGTGTTGAGTGTTTTTTTTTATATATGTTATAAACTGCTGGAAAAAAGGAAGTTTATTTATTTTTATTCTGTTTCCTGACTGATTCTTTTCTGAATAAGTTCTTTGATTTATCTTTTTAATAATTAAAAAAAGAAACACATTGTTTATTATAAACCTTAACATAAACAATGTGTTTCTTTTGTATATAATGACGTAAGCAATATAGATTGGAAATATCATTTTTAAAGTCGTTTGCGAAAATTAGGGAAATTTAGAATACTGTCAAGAGAAATCAGGGGAGTATTTTGGAAACTTTTGTCCTCACAATGGCAACAACTATGAAATTCCTGATGAAGATAAACAAAGTTTAAAATAAAGAGCAAAGTAGAACACTCCCTGGAATGAAAGTTTGTTGCAACTATGCCTCTTCAAAGTTTTAGTTTGCTATGAAAATTAAAAAAAACAAACAAAAAAAAAAAAACATAATAGATTCAGATTTATTACCAAATATTTGAGACATATGATTTGTTCAGAAATTGTGTGTTCTACCTCAGTTTCTAATGATTTTCAGTAGAAATTTTGCATGTAATTTCCTTGTCAGTGTTAGTGATCACCTAGCCTTTTATTTATTGGTTTATTTTCTCCTGTTGGTATGTTTCATGATGAAATTAATTTTTAACTTTTGCAGAGGAGAGAAAAATGAAAGGTGTTGATTTCCCGTGGCCGCAGCCGGATAAACCCATGTTTTTCTATGCCTGCCAAGGTCAAGAAGAAATTGCGGGCTCTGGCACATCTTATCTTAATAGGTAGGTTTAGACATAAGTTAAGAACAAGTTACTTTTGGGTTAATTTTCATCACTTAATTTTAATTTCCTTATTCACGTAGAACTGAAGCCGCTTTGGTGGAAAGACTTACGACAAGGTTCCTGAAATGCAGTGTTAAACCAGAGCAAATTGGTATTATCACACCATATGAAGGTCAAAGAGCATATTTAGTGCAATATATGCAGTATAATGGTTCATTACATGCAAAACTGTATCAGGTAGGATATTTTTGTACTAATTTCAATCAGTTATTTATTTTTATTTTTTTTCAATCATTTATTATCATATTATTTCTCAATAGTTTATAATTTATTTATTTAGATTTTGTTAGTTGAAGTTGAAAATAACACCGTGTGTCAGATCAGAGTAGTGTGAAATATATTGTAAAGCAATCGGAGACCTTGTAAAATAATGTTTCGAACCGATGTCCTTAATTGAGATTCCTCTCAATGTTTTTGCTATATTCTTAGATTTTTGTTACATGCTAATTTGCATTTTTGTTACTTGTGAATAATGTAAAATGCCAGAAAACACATTTAATTTTAGTGAATATGTCACAAGATGATGTTGACAAAAGTGTAAAGAATTTTCCATATGTTAGTAATTTTACAAGTATAGTTTAGTAATTTTACAACTATTTAAAATGTGGAGCGAATCATAATCAAGTGATTATTACTTGTACCAAAAAATCAATTTTGTCAAAGGGGAATTTGAAAATATTTAACCTCTAAAATAGTACATCGAAATTGTATAATCATTCATCTTTTCTTCAGAATTATATTCAAAAGATGCCTTTTTTCGCTAATTGGAGTGGAATAATGAGAAATAAAGAATAATAAGGTAAAAAATTAGTTTTTTTTTCTGCAGAAACTTTCATTCTAATATTTTTTATGCAGTCATTACTAATGATTTCCACATAGTTTTTAAAATCAGATATTTTTATATGATATTATTTATTATAACAACCGAATCTCGAAATGGAAACACACATTTAGTAACCCTTTTCATCACGTGATTTCGTTGCCGATCTTTTTTTTTCTTTTTCCGGTAGTTACTGCTACGGATTTCACAATTTTTTAATGGCATGAGGATTTACAAAATACGAAAAAGGAAATTAATAATCAGTGTGTTTTCCCCTTACAAAATGCGAGAATATTGCCCATAATATTAGACTAAAAAAAAATTAAATATTTTTTTAAAAAATTTTTTTATTTGATGCAATTTTTTTTGACACTTCTGTTACTTTGAATTAGTAACATTTATAGTTGTCATGTTCAAGATTATCTTTCAGAAAGATATTAGTATTAGAAAGGTTGGTCGCAGAAATCTCGAAAAAAATTCTGCCACAGGGATTTTGTCTATTTTGAAATCTGCTTGTTAAACTTTTGCTAAGTGAAAATTTAATTTTTTATAATTAGTTATAGGACATATTCTCTATCAAAAAGAAAGTTTCCTTGCTTATTGATTAAAAAAAATGTGAATTTCTAAAATTTCTAATTGTGTTGTGTATAGCAAAAATGTAATCTGGAAATCTGTGAAATTGACTGAAAATCCTCATAATGTTTGTGTATTAAAAATACATTATTCGTTTATTTCTATATTCTCTTTTTAAGGACATAGAAGTTGCGAGTGTGGACGCGTTTCAAGGGAGAGAGAAAGATTTAATCATTATGTCATGCGTACGTTCGAATGAACATCAGGGCATTGGTTTCTTGAACGATCCAAGGCGCTTGAACGTTGCTTTAACAAGAGCTAGGTATGAATTATAGACATTTTCATATTATGTGCATTTTTTTTCCCTTAGAGAAATAAATTGCGGAATTCGGTAGTTGTAAATGAATTCCTTGCTTATTTTAACGAAATTATAGAAATTGTTGTGTTTCGCAAACTTTGTTTTTAATAAATTTATAAATTAATACTTAATCTATTTTTATGTCATACATGTTTATTGTGTATAATTTGTTTGAAAAAATCTTGGTTTATTTAGTCATTGCTGAAATATTAGGCCGATTTTGCTCATAGCGTGCCATGAAAAGAAAATGTTTCTTTAAAAAAATTTAGGTTTATTCGATAGGTGCTATTGAAAAAAAATGTTTTCGAAGGATTTTTTTAAAAACTTTGATGATTAGTTAATTGCTTGCAAAACATGAGTAATATGTATTGACGTTAATTTTTTGTTGCGAGAGTTAAGAATAAATAATAAAAAAAAAAAAAGGAGTCTGGAACATTTAAATTTAAAATTTTTTTTGGAACATTAAAAAAAAAGTTTCATGTATCTATCTTATAGCAGAATTATTGAATCCCCTTCTGTTGTAAAAAACATGTGTGTATATATTGAAAGTAATGTGAAAATCGATACTGTATAAAGATATATATATACAAACCTCCATTTCTAGAAATTTCTATTTTTTAGATAAATTTTTAACACTCAATAAAAAAAATCTTTTTGACAACAAAAAAAAAGTTTCATTTTGTCTCTTTTTGCCATGTCCATAGCTGAAGAATAAAATATTAGGCAGATTTTGCACATACCATGCCATGAAAAGAAAATTACCTTTTTTTTAACAAAAAAAGTTTTTTTAACAAAAAAGTTTAGTTTTATTCAATAGTTATACTGTAAACATGAAGATGTTTAAAATATTTTTTTAAATTTGGTCAGTAGTTAATTTCAAAACACTAAATAAAAATCTTTAGTAATTGCTCTTAAGAAGATACCAGGCTGTGGAAAAAACTCTTCATTGCAAATTCTGTTTCATCTACTATGTTATTTTAAAATTTGAAGTTTTTGAGAAAAGTGAGTCCAGGTATATAGTAAACCGTGAAATTTCTAATTCTGAAAAAGTTTTCAAAAGATTAATGTTTTCCTTAAGAAATCCGCTTTGCTCTTTTATTTCCTATTTTTATTATTAATATATACGATTGATTTACTGTTGAAGTTTAAACCTTGTTTTATGTTATATTTATCTGAATATCTTTGCTAATTCTTCACCTCAAATAAAAATTGTTTTAAATCTGCTTTCTTTTTCTTTTCTTCACTCTAAATATTGTTAAGTTCTGTCATTTAATCAAAAGCAAAGCATTTGGTGTAGTCCTTGTCATTTTTGTCATTTCATCAATTTACCTTGTCATTTATTTGTAATTTTTATTTATAGAATATATGGTTTAATCTTTTTACTTTAAAGACATAGTGCCTAGAATTTTTTTTCCAGACTTGCAGATGTCTGGACCATTTGAGATATGGGACCACTGTAATTAAAAAAATAGCTCCGTTTTAAAACAATTATCAACAAGACAATTGTGTAACATAGTCTGTATTGTATGGAACATCGTCTCTAACTTATTGTTTTGTTTACAAAGCTGCAAAAACTAATCCATAAATAATATTATTTGTTCTGAGTGAGAAAAAATGAAATCTATCATCAGTGTGCGACCAAATTATCTCATATATTTTAATATCCTTCTTAAAATCATCATTATTATTTAAATTTATTATTAAGTTTAATATTATTTATTATTTGTTAAAATTAAATGTTTCCAAGTTTGAAAAAGTTTTAAGTAAGTAATTATTGTAGTAAATACTTTTTAATTGCTTAGTCATCTTACAATATTGTTAGAAATATCATTTTATTAAAATTAAATTATATGAATTATTGCCTTATGCTGTAGTAATAACTTTTTATTTTGTTGTGAATTGTTAATCACTGAGTTGTGTATTTTAGGTATGGAATAATTATTGTTGGCAACCCTAAAGTTTTATCCAAGGTAAATATAAATATTTTTCATTGTTTTTATATTTAATATTTACTTTTCAAATTTTTCATATATTCAACATCAAATCTTTCTCTCTACTAACATTTGAATCCAAAATTGATTTTGATGGTGTTTAGTAGTAACCTCTGTATTTGAATATTATTATTATTATGAAAATTAATAAAATTGGTTTCGAATTATTGTTGTTATAAATGTTTAGCTTTGTTTTAAAATTTAATCGTTTTCTCCATAGCAAACTTTGTGGAATCACTTATTAACATTTTACAAAGAAAACAAAGTTTTGGTTGAAGGGCCATTAAATAATTTAAAGGAAAGCTTAATACAGTTTAGCAAACCGAGGAAGCTTACCAACACAGTGAACCCGGTATGTATCTCTTCCAATTCTATTAGCAATAAATTTCAAATTGGTTTTTGCTATTCAAAGATTTATATTTTTTCATTTAATTTCAGGGATCCCATTTCATGAATACTGCCATGTACGATGCAAGAGAAGCCATGATTCCAGGCAGTGTGTATGATAGATCATCTCACCTAAATGGAGGTATGTTTTATTTCTATACTATGTTGCAAGTTTAAGAAAAAAAAACAATAGTCCTTATGTAGGAGCCTGCTTGCATCTTAGCTTCCAGCTTGACCGTATCTATGCATCGGCCGTATATCTACATCGGCATTGCTCAGCCTTCTTTTGGTTTCTTTCTTAAATAGTGTGAAATGAGGAAAATAAAACTTATTGAATAAAAACTATTGTTTTGTCAATAAGAGTTAATAAAAAAATATCTAAAAATCGTAACAAACATATCTCTTTCTATTTACATTTAAAGAAACTGATGAGAGAATAATAAATATTATTTTCTTACAGACAATTGTCTTTTACAGCAAACAAAAGTAAAAATTTGTTATCTCGCGTTTTAATTTGTTAAGGGCATGCCAGCATGAGATGTTTAAGAGAGATAAGATTGTTCACTGCTCTATTTATGAAATTATACTGGGAACTGTTTTAAAATAAGTAATTCTGAAACTAAGATTAGTATATTTTATTCCTTTGTGATAAAATGTGTCCATATTATACCGAAATAAAGCGGATTATACTCATTTTTTTTAGTTAGCTTTTTGCCTTTTTTAAAAATATTATGGTGTATGTATGCTGTTACAAAATCTGCCTTAGTTTTTTTTTTTTTTGGCTGATTACGAGACTTTTAATTGCTATGACTTCATTAACTCCTAAACTTAATAATTATAATTTAATAATAATAACTTAGGCCTGCAATAATCTTGACCTAAGTTATTGCAGGCATTTAAGTTAAAGAATTTGATAAATATTATTAATTTTACTTATAACTTTTTTAAATATTTGAATCATTTTTAGAAATGATTCAAATGAATTTCCCCAACTTTTTAAAAGACTCAACACAGTTTTATGGTAATAAAGTGGTGTATCACATAAGCCATTTGAATTATTTAGAAGTAGTGGTGAATAAAATCTCTATAAATCAAGTTTACTAAACCAAGAATCAGGCATTAAAAGACTACCACTAGAAAATATTTATTCTCTGTCCAGAGCAAGATGGCATCTCTGATGTTAGTTCGATATTGATTAAAGTCCCACTATTCATAGTATTAAGATTTTATTAATAACTTATTAAATATAAAATATCAGTAAATTAAATAAACTCAAATATTATCTATAAATCTTTGTTCTTAATAGTTTTAATTCATTAAAGCAACAGCAATTATTTTTAAAAGTGTGTGTTTTGTAAAGGGAATTCAAAATTTTAATTTATATTTAAACTTACAATAAATTTATAATATAAAAAAATAGCACTAATTTATTATATTGCCAATTTTCTTACACTACAAAACTAGTTTTTGGATAATTTAAGACAGATGAAACCAGTTATTTTAAATTTAATTATATTTTATTAAAAGGCATGGATCTAAATTTAAATTAATAAGCTATTAACTTTGCATTATAGTTTATTACTCATTTTCAAATATTTCAGTATTGCTCAAATTAAGCTTTTACAAAGTCTTCCTTTGCGCAATCGACAGAAGTGTTTTGGACAATAAAGTAAAAAACATAATTTTTGCTATAGAATTTATTGGGTTGAAAACATACCATCATCATAATAATTTAGGATTTTTCAAAAAAAAAAATTCTAGTCCAAAATTTTAAATTAATAAAATTTATAAGCAAAGTACTTTTTGGATAGGTGATCTAATATTTTATTAAACCTTAAAATGCACGTGTTATTTTGAAACATAATGAAAAAAGAATGAGCAAAGCACTTATGAAATAAAAAAAAAATTTATTTCTAACTTTATTCTACCATTTTGCTATTTGTGATAGAAAACTTCAATTAAATATTATTGTTATTAACTAGCCCAACTTAAGACATAAGACATCACTGTGAAATCTTCCATTCAGTAAAAAACTTTTTTATTTTCATAGCATTGATACTATTTATTTTTCAATTTAATTTCATGAATATTTAAGGAATTTGATGGATGTACCTTAATAAAATTTTAAAAGGAAAATTTATTTTAAAGTAAATAATAAGCACTGTAAAATCAATACTCATTTAAGATGAAAGCTAATGGTCTCGAAACTAATTGATCAATTTGTGCAACTAATTGAATAACAATAAAAAAGAAAACAAGACAAATAATTGTTTAAATTATAGTAACATGGAGCTCCTAAATTATTTTTTTGAATTTCTAAAACGTATTTAGCTTTATTATTTATTTTATTTTTTATTTAGTTATTTTGAATAGCATGGTCTTAAATTACATTGTTTATGTTGGGCGTATTTTGCATTATTTTTTATAAGGCTACTCAATTTATTGACGTTGGGTCTGAAACAAATTAGTTTTGATTGAGATAAGGTCAAAAATATATAGTCTCTCCATGGGTATTATGAATGCATTTCTTGCTAGTATTTATTTAGAAACACCGAAAGTTAAGAGTATATTTTTGAAATCTGGTTTTAAAAACCGTCAAACTAAACATTTTGAATTTCAGTTAGGAAATATATGAAACAATGAAATGTTTTTTGATAATTAAATACTCAAATATTTTTTGTGGTGACACAGCCTCCAAAAAACATTAATTAGATGAAACATTTCACTAATTGTTTTAAACATTTAATATGGAGCGTAGAGTTTTTAAAAAATGTTTAAAGGTGCTTATTTTCAATTTTCGTTTTTTAAAAGCCCTTAAAGGTGCTTTTTTTCATAAGTTGTTTTTAAAAAGTGCTTAATTTTCCCTTTTTGAAAAGGAGATTTTTTTTCTTCTTTACCATGTCCATTTTCGCCACGTATTATGCAAAAGCCTGCTTTTCAAATTGTTCTATTCAACGTTTTCACAATTCATTCAACCACAATCTATTTCGGCGTACCGTCGACAAGAATTTAATGTAAAATGATTGGCGTATGAAATTACCAATCATTTTACATTAAATTCTTGCGAGTCCACACATGCGTCTACTGAGCTGGGTTCGACAAGATTATTGCACTTTCATGTGCAACTCTGCTGTGTTTTGCCACAGACTGATATCAAACTTAAAAATCTCTTGATCATTTTATAATGGCTGATATAATCAAGAAAAGAGTTCTTTGTCAGAAATTAGTTATTTTATCATGATCATGTAAAGTCTTTAAAAATTATTTTGCATTTTGTTAAAGTATATAGTGCTTAAAAATATTTTTTGAGTGCTTGAAAAGTACTTGTTTTTTGTTGAAAGATTTGGCTACGCACCCTGTTTAATTTTAAATGAAGAAGGGAAGTTAATGATTATGACTTTCATTCAGGTCCAGCATTTTACAATCGACCACACGATCAACTCTCCTACATTAGTCCAGAAAGAGCTCAGGGTACCGTTGCTAATTTGCCTGTTCCTGTTGGGATGTTCTTGAACATGGCTCACATTCCTCCACGTTTCTACAATCAACATCAACAAGCTCTTCAAGGTAAAAAATTTACTGGTTTATTTTGTCATTTATGTAATGTTTTCAGAACTAGTTAAAAAATACTTTTTCTCTTCCTTATAGCTCGTCAAAACCAAAGGAATCGTAATGCCACAAGAAAAGGTGGAGGCAGACAAGCAAATGGTAGAGCAGTCTCCAATGGGCAACTTAACCTTTCCCAGACTGGATTTAACAGCCAAGCTAGCCAAGTAATTTTAAGATTTTTTTTGTAACTACGTTGGCATAGCGAAAGTTTGTAATATTTGGATGCTTCATTTAACTCTCTTGAAACTGCTTACAGTTTCGGGGTTGCCACTCCACAGGGAGAGTAGGGAATTTACAAATCACCTAAAATAACACTAAAAAGGCTGGGGATTTGGAGTTTTTCTTTACAAACAGAAAAAAAAGGGAATTGTTTCTTATTTTTGTTTTTAAAAAAATAGTGGCCACTCAAAGCACAATCTATGCATGCCTGCCAAGTCTCCTGTTTACCCGTATATTCTCAAATTTCTCCATAATTTGTTTAAGAAATTTTTTTTAAAAAGATTGGGTGATAAAATATTTGCTGATGGCAAAAATATTTCTCTTATTCCCCAACAGATAGTGCAATTGCCTTTACTGCAGTATGTTGAGTGTTAGCAGTCTAAGTAATTATAAATTATGGCTTTAAAAAAAACTTCTTTAGGTTAAGATTTGTATACATATTTTTTACTTCGTAAGTGCTTTATATTTCCAAATTAGAATTTCTCCTTTAAGACTTACATGATTATGCATGATGTATCAAAACTCTACTCGTAGGTTAAAACATGTTGCTGGTAAAATCTCTGTTATTTTATTTCTCCAATGTTGGCAGGTATGTCTGGAATATTTGAGGATGATATTTCAACTATACTAAACTGTTTAATTTACTATAGCATTATTTGTTTTAAATATGTTCAGATGTACCTTTTTTCTCTTAAGTTTTTCCAGCAATTAAAACTAGTGTTGTTAGCCCAATGTAGCTTGTACAAGAGCACAGATATTGTGTGTTTCTTCTTACTACAGTGTGTATAATGTGTACAGGGAAAACATAGGAAATTTTTTTTCCCAGAATGGAGTGGCAACCCTGAGTTGTAACTGCTCTGATGCCATTCAATGAAGTTAAACTAATACAATTTTGATGTTGCCTTTTAGGACATGATGGGTGGATTTTCTCAAGGTCCTCTTACGCAAGGACAGTTGAGCATGAGTCAGATGAGCCAGCCCAATTATCCAGGACTCTCTCAGCCTGGTTTATCACAGCCAGAGTTGTCTCAGGTGAGTAAACCACAATTACTTTGAAAACCACTCTCTATTACTTTTTTTTTTAATGGTTTACAACTTATATTCTATCTATCTCATTGATTATATTATATATTCTTTTCACTCAAATTATTCATTATTACCAGGGTGTAGAGGTAGAGGGTAGCACAAAAACAAGTTGTGTGGTGACCAGTAAGGATATACAGGAAAAGGGCATTCCATGACCTGGAAAAATTTTTTTGTTGCATTTATGCAAATACTAGATATTGCCTAGTTTGGGTATAGGAATTTCAAATCTGAAATAAGTTTTGTTTCTAAAGCTGCATATTTAGTCATCATAGAATTTTTAACAGTACTTGAAGGAAAATCCATATCTGCAAAAATTACTTTCGCACAAAACTGTTAAGCATCATATTCACTATGTTTTCATTTTGAGATTAATGAAACTCTACTTTAAATTTGTTTGATTAAGGAAATCTTAAACTTGATTGAAAATTTTTATAAGTTATTGGTATGAGGAAATATTAACCAATTGATACTGGCTATTTTTTTTTTTTTTAAACAACAGTATCATAAATTTATCTTAAACAGTCGTATTCACCATATTTTCATAGTGAGATTAATGAAACTCTACTTTAAATTTGTTTGATTAAGGAAGTTTTAAACTTTATTAAAAATTTTTATAAATTATTGGTAGGAGGAAATATGAATCAATTAATATTGGTTACTTTTTTTTAAAGCAACTAAATCATAAATTTATCGCAAATTTTAATAAATTCAGTCTTCTATAAAATTATACTAGAAACTGTTAATTTTCTTTTCTTAAAGTAACTCTAAAATTAAAAATATGCAGTAGAAAAGCTATTTAATGTAAACTGCAATTCTTCATAACCGTATTAACTTTTCAATCTCTAGAGCAAACCAAATGAATTTTATTTCTAGCATGCATAATAAATTTTTTTCTATAAATAATAAATACTTTAAGTAAATGCATATTTTGGTATTTTTCAATTCCTACTATTAGTTCACACTCTCCCCATATCTTGATCAAATTTTAAATCATTAATAAAATACTTTTTATTCATTCACTCAAGTTCAAATACATTTTTTTAAACTTGTGGATACTTGATGTTAATAATACAGTTTTTGCAAATATTAATTTATTAGATAAATAGGGATGAGTGAAACACGAAATGGAATTTTCTGATTGATTTAAATTTTACTATAAGCGATTCAGTTTATCACACATTTTAAAAATAACATCAGTGTTAATTTCTTACTTTTAGCTCTATTTGAACAAAGAAATAGTTAATTGCTCACGTGTGATCCATGCCTTTTTTTCCCTTTCAATTCCTACTATGAGTTCACACTCTCCCTCTATATATTTATATATCTTATTCAAATTTTCAATCCTTCATAAAATATTTTTTATTCATCCATTCAAGTTCAAATACATTTTTTAAAAACTTGTTGTGGATGACACTTGATGTTTTACATACAGTTTTTTCAATTATTAATTTTAGATTTATATGGGAGTAAAAATTGTAATTATTTTAAAAAAAAGTAACTAAAATAAAGTTTTTCTTTGTTGACTTAAGTAGGAATTGACTTTGAATTTTTTTTTTTTAATATTGTTTATTTTTAAGTAGTATTGCTATTGTTCTGTATCAGATTGCCATGTCTAGTAGGTAAGTTTAATGTTATGCAAAATGATCTATGTAACACAAAATTCTATATAACAAAAAGCCTCTTGTTTCCAGATTTACATTATTAAGACTGTAGTATATATCATGATTTTTTTTTATGATGAAATTTTCTTTCTTTATGTATTATAATTTGTTTTAGTTCGTCATTTGTCCTGCTTATTAGTAGTCTGTATACATACCATACAGGAAAAAAAAATCCAAGTTTTTCTCTTTTGGCCTATTATTTTATATTTAATTATTATATCAAGTTTAATAATTTTTTGTTAAAAGCTGTATACTTATCAAATTATTTTTTTCCAGGAATAAAATTTTTCTTCTTTTTATAAACTTTTCTTTGTTATGTATTAAAATTTTGTTTTAGTGTGTTATTTGTCCAGCTTAAAAGTAGTCAATTTGCATACCATCATACAGAAAAAAAAAAATTTTTTTTTTTTTCTTCTCTTCATTTTGGCCTATTATTTTATGTTTTATATTTAATTATTGTTTCAAGGTAAATAATGTTTTGGTAAAAGCTGTTATGCTTATCAAATTATTTTTTTTTCTTGGAATTTTTATTTTTTTAAAGTTTATTATTTGTCTTGCTTAAAAGTAGTTTGTATGCATATTATACAGAAAAAACCCCTAATTTTTTTCTCCTATTTTATGCTTTATATTAATTTAGTTTCAAGTTTAATTGTTTTTTTTTAATTTTAAAAAAACTGTAATGTTTATCAAACTACTTTTTTCCCTCCAGGACACCTACCTGGTGGATGATATGCGTTCCCAGACAGAAGGGATGCTCTCACAAGACTCTACATACCAAGGAGATAGGGCCTACTTTGCTGCATCTCAAGGTGGCCAATTCTCACAACCCTATTGAAGTTCTACTATGGGTCAACAGTTGATCAGTGGGCTGGTTACAAAGCCACTGGTTTCCTAACACAGAAGCAGAAGAGTAGCGCTCATACCTGCTACCAGATGAAAAATGAGAAAAAAATAAATAAAAATAAAATAAAAGCATCCACTACTACCACAGATATGGAAAGGCGTTGATGGTGGCCTCTTAATTGATAAATGGTGTTGATGTGTCCAGTAAAGATTCTTGCCGGCTGCTGAAATACGATGCCCCCAAAGTGGGACAGATGATAGCCGCCTACGGTTCGCAAAGCTGACTGCTCCTGAAAGTTTTGATTTACTACAACTGTACCAGTGCTGGCGTTTCTTGAGATCTGGACATTATCACACAGCTTGTGGTCATTGGCCTAAAAATTATCTTTGTTTGTTCATCTCCTCATCGATGATTTTTTTTGTGTACATTTCTTGCTTTGTGTTTAGAGGATTCCTTTTTGTCTTTGTGTCGTCCCCTTTCAATTTTTTTTTTTTTTGAATTTTAAAAGTAAATTTTTTTTCTTCCCTTCATTTAATGTTTATAGTTTTGGTACTCCGGTGTACGATTTTGGTTTTTTTTTTTTTTGAAGTTTGTGAAAGGTATAGGCAGGGACCACTGGGCACTAAACAATAGGACTATATATCTGTTCCGGCTATTTTCATAGCGGGGCAGAGAAAGTAGCTTAAGGGCAGTTTATTGAAATACATTTTAAATAACAAAAAAAAATGATCATGCCTTTTATGTGTATTTATATATGTGTAAATGACAAACAATATAGCACCTCTGTTCAGTTTTTGAGTCGCTATTGTGAAATATTTAAATTAGTGGTAACAATTTTTAAGTAATGGCACTTACAGAATATTACAGCCCATTCGTAGTTGAAGCTGTTTGCTTTATTTTCTCATGTTTAAAAAATATTTTAGCCTTATATTTTGTCATAAATTCAAAATGCAAAAGTTACTGCAAAGAAGATACCTTTATATTTCCTTGTTTTTGTATTGCCAAAAAAAAAAAAATGTTTTTTTTTATTCTGCTTCTTTTTTACAGACTTAAATACTGCACTCAGTGAGAGTTTCAATTCGTGTGCTTCTGTTATTATCTTTAATTTCAATGCCACTATAAATTGTAAAATATTAAAGACTGTAAATATTTTATTGAAGTTAAAAAAAATATTTTTATAATTTTTCTTTTTATTATTTTGAAAAAAAAAATTATTTTGTATAATGATTTTCTTTTACCGAACTAATAATTAAAAAGAATAGTTGGGAGTTCTGTTAATATGCTTCTATTTCTATTCTTTCTTATTTTGTTTTCTATATGCATAAAAGAAATAGTAAAAATGTAAAGGTTATAAATATTTTATAAATTATTGAAATTTTAAAAATATTTTTATAATCCTTTGTCTTAAAATAGTTTTACAAATAACCTTTGATTTTATTGAATTATAAGAACATAAAGTTTATAAAAACAGTAAAAAAAAAAAAAAAATTGGATCAAGATTATAACAATATTTTGTAGTATTTTATTTATTTTTTTGCTCAAAATTGTTTTCTATGATTTAATGGTTCTTTCCCAAACCTTTATAAGTTGTCTTTCACATAACTAAAGCATATTAAAAATATGATAATACTGAACTAAATCTCTATTTCTCCAATATATTTTTCTAATGTATCCGCATAAGAGTTAAATTGCTTTTGATATATTGCTGTTTGAGTTAAACAAAAAAAAATTTTAAATCCTAATTGACCTTGTATTTTTAACATGTGCTGTCTAAATTTGCCTTATTTTATGCTAAATAAGTTTATTTTCTTTCAGTTTTGTGAAATTTTAAATTAGTTTTCATTTCCCCCCATTTGTAAAAACAAAAGTGTATGTTATCGAAGCATAGTTGTGCTGGTTTACCAATCATCTGTATAATAACTAATTCAGATTTGTTTTATTATTGTGAAACTGTTACTTGTTCCTAAAATAAATTACTTTATTCGTCTGTTTTACTATATTTGTTTTTCTTTTGCTGTAGCATAAGTTACAAAAAAAAAAAAATCTAGTTGAATCAATTTGCAATCTGTCATATGTACTTCTTACACAGGATGCCAGTACATAGTTCATTCATATTAACCCATTTTAGGCCAAGCATATAAAATATGGTATCTTCATTGAAATATGCTTACATTACATTCATTAAGACACAAAAAATTTCGTGTATAAAAAATTATATTTTATTTAAGAAATAAAATGGGGCATATGGGCATCACCATTCACCGAATCAATGAACAAACTATTTAGTTGAACGCTTGTTGTTGTTTTTTTAAATCTGTATTATTTTTTTTATTTACTGGCTTGCAGCTTTAATCCATCGTAAAAACAATGATAAATCTCAAAAGTAATAATTATACATTTTCAAAAAATTTCATTTGTCAATAACCTTTTTAAGTTAAAAAAAAACTTTAATAGTTTAAAAGTTTCTCAACAGTAAGCGTTTACAGCAATTGAAATTACTATAAAATTTTGGGTGTCTTTAAGAACCTTTGGCAATAGCAGAAAAATAAAATTAGTGAAAAATATACGTCACAGTGTTAATAAAAAATAATTATTGAGATGGTGCGTTTGCGCACCTTTGGCCGAAAATGTTTTGCCGAGTTTATGTGATCACACACATATTGCATACCAGTTTACTACCCTGGAATTTCCGGAGGGTCTCTGGAAATTCCAGTGGGCACTCCACAATGATATCAATTTTACCCGAAAAATAAACCACAGCTAAATGTTGCATTTTTCAGCCAATGACGTCACACAATCGTACCCCATCTTTTACGTCGGCTCTTTCTCCTCCCAATGGTGAACGGTGTTTTTCGGCTTCATGCTCTTGCTGTTGTGTATAGTGCTGACATCTCCATTAAAGCTGGGGTGCTTGTGAGAAATGTATTTCGTTCTACCAAAGCTAGTCTTAGTTGCTGACGGAGACCATGTCTTCCAAAAAAACATTCACAGATGTATCGGAAAGAATATTCAGTAGAATGGCCTGTATTTACTTGTTCCACTCATCACATTGCAAAATGCATAGTTTTGTTCCGAAATGGTAAAAAACGTCTAATGAAGTTTCTTGCTAAGATTTTATGTGAAAACATGGATTTTTTCGTTTATGTTTTGTTCCTAAATAGCAAAATTAATATTTCTCTTGCTTATCATAACTTGAAATTTCTGATCTTGAGTAATATTTACAGTTTATTTAAACTTACAGTGGTGATAACAAAAATTTCACGTTTTAAAATAAATTGATTTATTTAGTACCATAAAGGCCTCCTAACAATCATAAAAAAATTTATTTTTTTGAAATTAAATTGTTGAAAGCACTAAAATAGACCTGTATTTAAAGTTTATTTAGTTATAGTTAACTGATAAATTTGTGAATAGTTAAGAGTTCTTCAATGAATATATTTTACAAAGGTATCCATTGTGTGAGATGAGTGATTGGTTACATAGTATAGGAAAGCACTATAAGTTTTTTATTAAATTAACTTAGCATGCATTTCAAATTAAAAGCATTTATGCAATAATTAAAAAGTCAAAATTTACAAGGAATTTACATCATTATCAAGACGCAGAATTGGCGAATTTGTTTAGTTCTATCTTCGTCGCCAAGTGTTTAAGCTTCCTAAAAATAAAATAATATAATTTAGTGTAAGTCTTTAAATAACAGTTCTATTTATTGAAAAAAAAAAAACTTATTTTAAAACAAATTTGAAAACATCCACTAAGCAAAGATTATGATGATCTACTTTTTTCTATCAAAATTATTTTAAAGAAAAGGAAGAGTAGAATTTTTTTAAATATATATATATGTTTAAAATTTAGGGAAAATTTAATAAAAATCTGGAAAAAAAAGAAGATATCTCTTCATCAGCTCATCGCACGATTATATTCACAAAAAGGAGTGCATTCTATATTGTATAAATTTAACCAAAGCGAAATATATCTATACAATAGTGTGAGGAGCGCTCAAATTTTTTTTTGAAACATTGATGATTTTGAACATATTAAGTATAAATATCACGTTAAAAACAGAAAATAAAATAAAAATCGTACATAATAGTATGAGAGCTGATGAAGATATTATATCTCCCCCCCCCCAATTTTTATTGAATGTATTTTTTTTTTCTAAATATTTAAAAAAAATCCTCTTTTTCCATTATTCTCGATCATGACCACATTAATAATCATCATTCACCTTCCTAAGGTCTAAAATCCTTGCTAACTCCGAAAATTGCCAGGGGGGAAAGGATCTGTGACTATCTGGCATGAGTTTTATACCGGGTGATGCATAGGATATTAAAATTTAGGACGGCAGATGGTGATGATTAATATCAGAGGAAACGGAAAATTTAAGTCGCTGGTCTAAAAAGGTATTAGTTTGTGCATATTTTTACAAGCACATTTACATTTATTTAATAAAAAATTGAAATGGAAAATTACAATACGAAGAATGCAATGATTTGTGATGAAATATGCTACTTTGTAACAATAAAACAGATCAAAACACAAAAATAAAAGTAACCTAAATAGCATATCATCCCTTTACATCGATTGTTGGTCTGGGGAGTCACTGATAATTATTTTATGGTGGTTCAAGTCTAACTTTAGTGGTTCCAGATGAATCAGGATTGCCACTCCACAGGGAATTTAAAGATCACCTAAAATAACAGGGAATTTTGAGTTTTTCCTTACAGAACTGGGAAAATACAGGGCGTTTTATTTCTTATTTTCGTCTTTTAAAAGTGGTGACCTCACAAAGCACAATATATGGGATATTTAAGGATGATATTTCAGCTATACTAAACTATTTCATTCACTATAGCTTTATTAGCTTTAAGTGTGTTAAGCTGATCCTTATTTCTCTAAGTTTTAACAGCAATTAAAACTATTATAATTAGCCTAATATAGGTCACTCAAGAGCTCAGTGAATGTCCTCTTAATACATTGCATATGATATGTACAGGGAATTTTTTTCCAGATTTGAGTGGATACCCTACCAATTGACTATAGTTAATTTTGAGCTCTGAATGTGGTCAAGGAAGTGTGACAAACTTCATCTACGAGCTTTAGAATTGTATTAAAAATTATTTTTAATTTTTGTATAAATTTTATTTCAGTAAAATCATAACAAAAATGATAAATACCTTAAAATATCTATTTTTAACCTCCGAATTTGTGAGATTTCATGGGCTTCATTTAAAATATGTTTTGGGATCCCCGCAAGAGCAGCAACATTAATTCCGTAACTCTTGTCACTTATTCCGCTGATCACATTGAAGAGAAAGGTAACGCTGTCTATATCACTGTCATCATTTTCTGGTGGAGTAAAAAATATTTAAAGTTATTAGATACAACTAAGCATATATAAAATAACAGAAGGAACAAATATAAAAGAAAATATTTTACTTTATTTTATAATCGTCGTTGAACAGAGGACTAAATTTTTTGGTTTACGACTACTAACGTTCAACTCTGTAGCCTAGTAATTTTGAAGCCAATCCAGAAGACAAGGGAACTTCTGGATCAAGTATTGAGAGAAATTTGCCTTTGCGGAGGACTTTATGATGAAACTAACCTGCATTTGCGTTACATGGAGAGGAAGACCACAAGAACCTCCCATGGTTCGCCTGACGGCAAAAGGACTCTAACCCATAATTCATCTACAACTGAGAATATTTCACGTCAGCACTGTGATAGGTGCACGGCGGATGCAGATTCATATCGACCAGCCATCGCCGGGATTCGAGCCCGGTTCACTTCATTGAAAGGCGAACGCTCTATCCCCTGAACCAATGCGGCTCTGCATTGATTTTTGGAAAATTGTTGAGATCATGACTGATTACTTTCTACTAGTTTTCTTCGTTCTTGCCCTGATTTACCTTTTTTGGCTACCTCCGCTTCCCTTGGCTACTGTAATTTTTGTTCTGTTTACTTTCTTTATTGATTTCATATTCCGTTAAAGTTTTGTTTTCTAAGTTTCGTCGTCCGTTTTATCATTATTACATAGTTAATAAATTAGTCATTTATATATAATTTTAAACTAAATTTTATTTAAAAGTTGGTTCAGACAACAATGCAATTGAAAGTATGAATACAAATTATATTGTTGTGAAAAAATTAAAAGATTTTGTCAATCATATTTTTAAGTATACTCACTGTCTTTTAAAATGTAAGCCATAGTGACAGTACAAACTTTATCAGGAAACCGCTGTTTAAGCTCAAGAATTTCAGGATAATGTGTCACAAATACAGTTAAACATCCAATCTGAAAATATGTAAAAAAAGTTATTCAAAAGAATGAAGCAAAATGTTATGTAGAAAGGAAGCAGCATAAGGTTAAGCATACAGGGTTCCTACAAAAATCTTGAAAACTTGTGAAAACTATACAAGATATTAGGCTAACTATAATAGTTTTAATTTAATTGTTAAGTTTTATTAAAGAAATAAGGAACAGCTTAACGCACTTAAAACAAATAATGCTATTTTAAATTAAATAGTTTAGTATAGCTGAAATACCATCCTTAAATATTCCATACATTGCGATTTGAATGGTCACCATTTTTAAAAGATGAAAATAAGAAATAAAATTCCCTACATTTTCCCAGTTTGTGAGGAAAAACTTAAAATTTCCCGCATTTTCCCTGTTATTTTAGGTGATTTTTAAATTCCCTGTATTTTTCATGTTATCCTTGTAGAGTGGCAACCCTGGCATAATATACCTAACATTAAGAGGGTGTTATACCAAGGAGGAAACACTTCATGTAGATCATCATAATCTTTGCTTAGTGGATGTTTTCAAATTCTGTTTTACCAGCATAAGTAGTTTAGTATTTAGAGTTTAGAAAAAAAAAGTTGAGTTAAACCCGTATCAAATTATAGAATTTCAAGTGTTGAAATAAATTTTTTAAACCATCAAAACGCAAATAAATTATAGCAAGATTACTTATGATTATGCAATGGGAAAGCAATGCTGCTTTAATTAATTTGTTATTTGATACTTTGTAAAAAATTTTTTTTCAGCATTTGAAATTCTATAATTGATTGTAGGTTAACCTGAACTCACTTTCTTCTAAACTCTAAAATACCAGTGGAGTTGTAATGGTCTCTCATGAATGCAGGTTTATTTAGGTCAGATGTCTGATGCTCCCAGTTTTTTACATAAGGTTAAGCACATATCTAAGATTAAGAGGATGCTATACTATGGAAGAAACACTTCATGGCAAATTCTGTTTTACCAGTATAAGCAATGTAATATTTAAAGTTTAGAAAAAAGTGAGCTAAGGTCAATATGTATGCTTTTATTGTTTTTTCTTTTAAGATAAACATCATTAACGCTAACTATTCTATAGAAGCAAAACATTATATATATGAGTATAAACAATGCTTAAAGGTTAAGCGTTCGGCAAGTGTAGACTGATTTTATTAAATTTCCTCGATTTTTGTAACAGATGAAATAAATTTATTTAGTGATTTTATTGTCACTAACCATATATATCTTCAATAAAGTACCGCTTACTTAATATCCAAGACAAATACAGTCGGACCTCTATTTAACGAAGTCGATAAATCCCGATAATAAGTTTGCTATATGGAAAATTCGTTAAATGGAAAATCTCCTTTTGAAATACTTAAACAACACAAAACAGGATATAATTTCATAAACACTAGACATAATCAAAATAGCACTTGATAAACCATCATCTTGTAAACTAGTATCTATTATTTATTTTATAAATCTTAGCCATAAAAGAAATCTGCATGGAAAGCTAGAATAGAGCAAAACATTATCCAGTGTTACACTATCATGATACATACATTTTCAACTTTAAAAAAGCTAAATTTATACCTAAAATTATAGCAGCATTTATTATAAAAGTAATTTTAAACACACATTACCACACGCGTTAAGTTTATTTGCTACTGGTTAAATCCATTCATTTTGTCTGAGTATTTCACTTGAAATGCAAACAAAAAGGGAAAGGGATTTTACTGCCTCCTCTAAAAGTTAAGTGGCTTCGAAAATCAATTCAAGGTCATTTCCACCATAAAATGCCTTAACAAGTTTGAAATATTTTGGTAAATAGGGAAAGTGAATTGCAAAGAAAAGTTCGTAAAATAGAAAATTTACTTCGCTATTTGGAAGCTATTTTACGAAGAAATTTCCAAAATGTTCTTGGTTCCTGGAGAAAAAAAATAGCAAAATAGAGAAATTCATAAAATAGAAGTTTGTTAAAGAGAAGTCCGACTGTACTTTTGATTATCTTAGTGTAATATTTTTTATTAATTGTTAAATAAGTTCTTTGTTTTAAAATATTTACAAAAAATGAAAACATTTTAAAAATATAATAAATGTAAATAATGTGTAAATAAGGGAAACAAAATTTCATTTATAACTACTAATTGTAATAAATGAATCAAAAACTGAGAATCGGATTTTTTAGAATTAGCATAATTTTATTTAAAAAAAAGGACTTTCAGTTATTTTAAACCAGATTGACTCCATTTTTGAGTATTCTTTGAATTTTCTCTAATTTTTCCAAGGTTACAAAACTTTCCGATTTTTGATATTGCTACAAAATTGTTCACAAGCTCAGTAAGAGGCAGCATTTTCTACCTAAGGGATCCTTTTCTACTTAAGGAATCCATTTCTACTTAATGGATCCTCTTCTACTCAAAGCAGCCTTTTCTACTTAAGGGATCCTTTTTCTACTTAAAGGATTCTTTCTAATAATTTTTCCTAAAGCAATGCAAACACTTAGCATGGTTTAAATGAGGTGTCTCTTGAAGGCCCATAATAATGAGATGATTTACTTAAGAAAAGATCAGTCTTACAAAATACATATCAAATCTGCATGAAAATATGTAATCAAAAATAATTTTATTAACAAAAAATTACGTCAATAATTAGATGCTTTAAGGCAGAATATGCAACTGCTGTTCCATCATTTGTACTAGTACCTCTACCTAATTCATCAAGAACTACAAAAGATTTGGAAGTAGCACAGCACAAGATTTCCGAAGCTTCACACATTTCTACCATAAAAGTACTTTTTCTGTTGATAAGGTCATCATCAGCTCCCATTCTGAAACATAAGGATAAAATTGCAGTAAGTTTATGCTTTATCTGCAATGATTTTAAATTGAAACTTCAAATAACTATACACTGGAAATAAGATTATGCACAAAAATTGGGATCAAATCTTAATCATATAAACAAAATCTGCAGAACATAGAGTTTCGTTTTTTTAAACATCAACTTTCATGATCAATTTCAGCCCCATGGAAGAGTTGTGGCAACACAGCGACATTGTTGCAGAATGTTACCGAGTTATTGCAGAAATATTTTTCTTTTGGGAAGTAACAAAGTTTGGTTATTTTTTCTGCAGAAATTTTCTAAAGATTTATCTTCTCTTCAGAATTATATTCAAAATATGCCTTTCTCGCGCATCAGAGTGGAATAATGAGAAATAAAGAATAATAATAAAGTAAACAACTTGGTTTTCTTTTCTGCAGAAATTTTTGTTCAAATACTTTTTATGCAGTTATTACTATTGATTTCCACATAGTTTTTAAAATCCGATATTTTTTATACAATATTATTTATTACAACAACTGAATCTCAAAATGGAAACACGTATTTAGTAACCCTTTTCATCATCCGGATTCGTGTGATTTCGTCGTCTATCTTTTTTTCGGCAGTTACTGCAACGGATTTCACGATTTTTTTTTAAATGTGATGATGATTTACAAAATACGAAAAAGGGAGTGAATAATCAGTGTGTTTTTCCCTACAAAATGCGAGAATATCGTCTATAATATTAGAATAAAAAAATATTACATATTTTTTTAAAAAATTATTTTATTTGATCTGAATTTTTTTCCTTTGAAGTTGACTCTTCTGTTGCTTTGAATTAGTAACAGGTATATTTGTTATTTTTAAAAGTATCTTTCAGAAAGATATTAGTATTAGAAAGGTATGTTGCAGAAAGCTAAAAAAAAAAATCCTCCACAGGGAATCTCAGGAAAATAGTGCATAAAAAAAACATACAACGGAAGCCTTGGTGGTCAAACTAAATTTATGCTAATGAATGAAGTTAACTATCAGATTCCTTTTAGCTAACCTTTTTCTTTGCTGTACTCAATTTTGAAGCAGAATTTTTTTTATTCATGCATACCCTAACCTTCTAAATAATTTCACTCATACATCTGTGGGGACAGTAATTATCGGCAATATCAATATTCATGTATGAAAAGGTACCCCAACATAGAATCGTGTTAACATGTCTTATATACTAGTGAATTGGAATTGTATTTTTCTAGTGGTAGATACACTACACATCCAAGTAAGATTAAGCAATAACTAGATGATTATCTCATTTTAAAAAAAAATAGAGAATACAATAAAAAATTACCAATGATTATTAATAAGATCATAATATTTTATTAAAAATTATTGATTAAAAGTGCTGAATTACCTTACATATATATTATCAAAAATAGGAACTGTTGCGGAATCAGCAGGAACATAACAGCCAATGTGTGCCATCAGAGCGATTAAAGCAGTTTGGCGCACATATGTACTCTTTCCACCCATGTTCGGACCAGTAACAATTACACAATTATTAGCGCACTGAAAAGAAATAATCAAAACAAATAATTATTGATGAATTAAAAAATTTCTACTAGATAAAATGTACATATTGCACTTTTTTTCTGAAATTTTTTTCAAGGATATACATTTTGTTTACTTTAATCAACAATTTAAGTGCATTCAATGAAGGCTATAAACACAGTGTTTCACATGGGTTAAACTAATTCTTGATAAGATGATAAGTAAAAATAGAAAATATTTGTTTTTACGCATTTAAACAAACACTTAAAGAATTATGGTTAAGTTAATTTTTTATTTAGCTTTATTTCTTGATAACTTAATTGGTTCACAATTTGATTTCCTTTTCACTATTTACTAGCAGATTGTAAAAAAAAAGTGCAAAATTTTCTGACTTGATAAATAAAACAAATGTTAACAGGATAATATTTTAGGGGTGATTGTGACACCAAGTGACAATTTTATGGGCAAAAACTCGATAACAAGACATCAATTTTCACATTTAAAGTAATTTTTTGAACAACGATTTATAATTAAATTACCTACCAATAAAGAATACCGCACTTTTATAGTAATTTAAGAAAAAAAACATAGTTTTTACAAGAATAGCGATATTGGATTTTAGCATAGCGTAAATATGAATCGCGATATTGGATTTTAAGAATGCGCAAATACAAATAGCGATATTGGGTTTAAAAATGTTAAATAGTTTAAATGTAAAATAGTTTTGCGATCAAAGAAGTGAAGGGATGCATGAGCAATGTTTACATTAGTTCATACGTAAGTAACTGGGTTGCCACAGAAAAAAATGGACAAAATAAATGCTTTTAGTAGACTAAAGCATGAAAAAAGCTGCCTAAATAAGAAAATTTTTTTTTAAAAATAAAATGACTAAAATTTTATTTAATGACTTAGTTGTCATATACCATGATTCATTTACTGGCAAATATAATAATTTTTATATAAACGTTAGTGTTCTAGCACTAAATTTTTATATTAAAAAAATTTGTATATTTGCAGAAAATTAAACACTTTTAATTACTAGAATTCATTAAAAAAATTCGTTTTTATTAAAAAAAAGCATACTTTTTCTAAAAAAATTTAGCACCTTTTTAAAAATTTAGCAATAACCTTTGAAAAGGCGATCAAGAAACAAAATAGACTTACAATGGAATCTGAGCAAATTGAGTGCATTAAAGAGTGATGATTCAAATTTGCAATTCAAAATTTTCAACTTATTTTACTTCAGTTTGTTTAGAAGCTCCAGCGGACTGCAGGATGTTAAGCCAATTTATGCTAAAAACATAGCTAGGATTACAGAAAAGTTTCACAATAGTCTCATTTTCCTGAAAATAGTTGCTTGTTAGCCTTTACAAGCAAAAAAAGTTGCCATAGTCACCTCTGGCCAAAAATACTTGCTAATAGTCGCCTGTGGCAACCCTGTTTTGTCCCAACAAAACAGTAAAAAAAAAATCCCAACATAATACCCCACTATCTGATGTTACTTTAAGATGTGGCATAATTTAAATATAATCAAACTGAAATGTAAAACTTTTCGTAAATACAGAGCAAACAAACAAACAAAAAAAAAAAAAAAAAAAGAAAAANAAAAAAAAAGAGAAAAAGTTTCCTGTTTTAGAATGCTTATGGGGAGTTTCATCTTATTTCTGCTGTCCTATTTTATAATGCTAGGACAATTTTATTTAATTATTGACACTTTTAATTTTATACGTTTAACTTGTAAAAAGTACCTGAAAATAACCGAATAAAAAACTTTATGACTCTTTTTTGAAGACTACGCCATCACACACAGTAACAATTGTTTGCAAATAATATGCTATTTTCATAACTATACTATGAGTTTGCAACAGTTATTCCTGACTGTTAGGTCAAGTTTAGCCAATGTCATCTGTGTTAATTCGGAAAATGGTTCAAAAAGTATAAAGAAAGCCACAATTTTGAGAAGATGAAAAAAACTTGTTTTCAATATTTAAAAATACAAACACTGTATCTCATAAAATGTGCAAAAAATTGAGAATCCTTCATTCATTTTGGTAATTTTCCTCAAGGTGGAAAAATATAATCTTCAAAAAAGTTTAATAACTTTTAAATTATTTATCAATTTAAAAGCAGCTATTTGTCCATTCTGAAGGACAGATAATTCTTTACATCAAAGCTGCATAGATAGTTTAAAATCATAGCTTTGCCCGAAATGTAGGACATTTATGCTTTTCTTCCCCTTGGCAAAAGAGTCCTGTAAAACACTGTTTAGGCAGTAAAAATAATTTAAAAGTTTGACCATAAACATTTGTGTTCTTCTATTTGTTAAAAAAGGAAATTCTGTGGCTTATTTGTACAATTTGACAGGCATATGATAGAAAACTAAACTAAAAGAAATTATTTTCTCACTGACAGAATAGTTATTTTTTTATGTAAATTAGACTTACATTCATAAGGATGTCATTGGCAACAAATTGCTTCTCTTCAATAAGTTTTGTCAATACTGGATGACGACCTTGAACAACACTGAATATTCTATTGTCAGTTTCAGAAAGGTGAGGCCTATTATGCAAATATTTCAATAAATCTTATTAGAGCAAATTTTTATAACTTATTAAAAAAGGAACACAATATATTTTTTAGAGCAATAAGACTCCCTTTTACATCCCCCCCCCCACAAAAAAAACTTGAGAGAAACTAGCAAAATTTTTGGCCAATGGTGACCAGTTATGACCAACTTATGGCCAATCCAACTGCATAGTATATCTATATGTAACATAAAAAGCTTCAATTAATCTTTTTATGTTAGTTTCTTTGCTATAAAACAACTCCTATTTTACTACTAATTATTCATTCAAATCGAGCTGCTTTCTCACACTTTTAAAAGCCACATCCTGTTTCTAAATCTATTTTTGGCCCAAGTATGTATAAATTTAAATAAAGACATTTTTTCCTTTAAAATTCGTGAGAATCACTTGAACTATTTCTTAAACCAATAGTCATATCTAAGATTTCCCTCTTTTCCCTAAATACAGAGATTTTTGGATTTTTTGCAAGATTTTCCCTACCAGAAAGACTGATTGCTCATGAAGTAAAATACACTTCTCGTTCGCCACTCATCAAAGAATGACCTAATAAAAATTGCTTTCTTTCATTAAAATTCTGTGTCTGTTTTCCTGCTCGGTCCGACTGCATCATTTTACATATATATAAGTAAAAAATATTTTTTTTAACGAAAAGAAGAAAAATTATTCATGATTAATATTTTTATTAAAAAAGCCTTAAAAAATATTGAAAATGTATAATCTCTGCGGTTGCACACTTGAAATATATTGATCTTGGGGGTCAGAAATCCAAATTCATCCAACAAGAAGTATGTTTATTCAGAAACGGTTANCCCCCCCCCCACAAAAAAAACTTGAGAGAAACTAGCAAAATTTTTGGCCAATGGTGACCAGTTATGACCAACTTATGGCCAATCCAACTGCATAGTATATCTATATGTAACATAAAAAGCTTCAATTAATCTTTTTATGTTAGTTTCTTTGCTATAAAACAACTCCTATTTTATTACTAATTATTTATTCAAATCGAGCTGCTTTCTCACACTTTTAAAAGCCACATCCTGTTTCTAAATCTATTTTTGGCCCAAGTATGCATAAATTTAAATAAAGACATTTTTTCCTTTAAAATTCGCGAGAATCACTTGAACTATTTCTTAAACCAATAGTCATATCTAAGATTTCCCTCTTTTCCCTAAATACAGAGATTTTTGGATTTTTTGCAAGATTTTCCCTACCAGAAAGACTGATTGCTCATGAAGTAAAATACACTTCTTGTTCACCACTCATCAAAGAATGACCTAATAAAAGTTACTTTCTTTCATTAAAATCCTGTGTCTGTTTTCCTGCTCAGTCTGACTGCATCATTTTACATATATATATTTAAAAAGAAAATTTGAAGAAGAAAAATTATTAGTAAATAAAATACACAAAAGTATCACAAAAATAAATAAATTAAAAAGCAAAAAAACAAAATGAGGAAAAGATATAATCACGTCAAAAGCTTACGGGATTATATTTGTAAAAAAGAGTACTTTCTAATATTGTATTTATATAGCCAAAGCAAAATATATAAAAATAATAGCGTGAGTATATTTTCAAGTTTTTTAATTTTGTTTTAAATATTTTTTAAAAATATTTCATTTTTAAAAATTATTTTTTTCTTTTTAATAATATTTATATATTCTTTCCATGTTTTCTCGATATTTTTTAACTTATTTCATACCCCTTATTAACATTGCCCATATTTCTATGTTTAATAAAAATTCTGAAAATTCTTTTTTACACAGATATAGAATGACACTTTTAAACAAGCTTATTTAGAAAGTTCCCCTTCATATACAACTGTTTTCCTAAATAACAAGAGTAAAAACAATGTCTTTTTTTGGCATTAAAAGCAATTGGTGAAAGAACATCTTTGGGTATTAAAGACACTGTTTGTTACAAAAATCTAAAAACCTCATTATAAATAAGTAATATGTTTCATATAACTACATCTTTCATATTTATTATATTCATCATTTAATTAAAATTCAATTTTTTTCATTATATTTTCCTTTTGAAAGGAAGAATAAAAATTTTATTTTACCAATGAAAAAAAGGAAACAAGTAAACACTAAATAATAATTTATTAAACAGTTTACATATGAATAAAAATTTATAAGTAAAGAAAAATTAAATCAGTAAGGAATTTAATTAACAAAACTGAAATATTAATTATTTTTCAGTTGTGGAAAAAACATCTAAGACAAAGTTTCACAAGTTAAAAAAAAGCAGTTTAAATAAATAAGTTGGAAAAATACCTGCAAAATTTTTCTTCTCTTGACACTTGAGCAAAGCTTAGGTAGCAATCCAGTTCAGCTAAATATGATATAGCCCTTTTGTACTTGTAAAAATTCTTTCCAAACTCACTGTGCATATAAAAAAAACCCCAAAATTCTTAAGGCAAAAAATGTTGTTAAATATTCAAATAATGTCAAAAAAATCAATCAGTGATTAGATAAACTTATAAGTCAATAGTGATTTGTAAAATGAAAGAGGATGTCGTCACCTTTGACATTCCTGACTTTTATATTTGATTATCAAGTGTCTGTCCAGGGCAAATTTACTACCAGCGGTACCTTCACAAATTCAACTTAAGGAAAAACGATAGTTTCAAAATTTCTTTTTTAAAAAAGCAAGTTCTAAAATCCTCTCCCCCTGGCCTTCTAAAATTTTGTTGTTGTATCCCAGTAAAAAAAATAAACCTGGAGTTAATTACGCATTTCAATTAGCAATGGAACCCACCCATGCTTTGCTATTATGACTTAGTAGAAGAATTTGCTTCCCACACAGTTTGTAAGAAGAGCGCTTTTCTTCCCCATGTCCGGATGAAAACATGCCGGGATCCTGAAATGCCATGAGAGAAAATGAGCGCCAGCCCCTCTGTTTCTTATATGAAGTGGAAGAAAAAGTGCTAGTACCATGCTAACCCTGTTCTAGTTGCAATCTATGGAAAAAAGAAGCTTTTCTGCCAGCTGTCTTCTATGAATAGGTATCACGTGCTTGGTCAGATAGTGCGGTGTGGTAAGGCTAACAGGTCGCTTATGCCTTGTTATAGCAATCATTTTTTTCTTCCTGCAGATTGTTTTAAAATTAAATGGTGAGGCTATCTTTCCGTAAAGTTTACAGGAAGTCGAAATTCTAACTATTATTTTAGACTTATTCTAATAGACCTTTATTTTTTTAATGAAACATTTTTTACTCAGTGAAACTTTTTCAGTATGACCTCGTCGAAAATGTTCTCATAATGAGGATAACTTTCAGTGCTAGTACTGTTAAATGTATGTTTCTTTTAAATTCAAGTTGTAATTTAATTACGGATAATAATTTTTATGGACTTTTAAATTTGGATACAATTTTAAGTCCAAAGTTTTACAATGGCAAAATTGTTTTTGAACATATGGGGAAAATATAAATAGAAATTTACCAGTCATAAATGATTGTTATTTGTAGTGACAATTTTTGAAAATATTTTCATATTTTAGGGTTGATTTGTAAACATAATTTTCAATTTTCATAAATTATATCTAAATTTTCACAAAATAGGTACCTCTTAAAAAAAACCCCTACAGATCCATGCATTGTAATACTCAGTTTCATATGTTGATTGCTTCTATACAATATTACAGCATATATAACAACAAGTACACAAACCAGGGTTGCCACTCAAATGTGGAAAAAAATTATCTGTTTTCCCTGTGCATATTGTACACAATATATTAAGGGAAACACAATCACTGTGCTCTTGCATGAGCTGTATTGGGCTAATTATACTAGATATAATTGCTGAAAAAACTTAAGGAAAAAGGAACAGCTGAACATATTTAAAATAAATAATCCTATAGTAAATTAACTAGTTTAGTATAGCTGAAATATCATCCGTAAAAGTTAAATAGATTGTACTTTGAGTGGTTCCTTTTTTTTTAAAAGACGAAAATAAGAAACAAAATTCCCTGTATTTTTGCGGGAAAAACAGGAAAAAAGGAACAGCTGAACATACTTAAAACAAATGTTGCTATAGTAAACTAACTAGTTTAATATAGCTGAAGTATCATCCTTAAATATTCCATAGATTGCACTTAGAGTGGTTATTATTTTTTAAAAGACCAAAATAAGAAACAAAATTCCCTGTATTTTCCCAGTTTCTAAAGAAATACTAAAAAATCTCTGAATTTTTCCTGTTATTTTAGGTGATTTTTAAATTCCCTGTATTTTTCAGGTTTTCCTTGTGGAGTGGCAACCCAGCATATAAACAAAATGAATGACTCAAAAGTTTTAAACAATTTAAAAAATCAATAATATATATGGAAGATAGAAATGTACAGTTCGCAAAAGAAAAAAAATGAGCACCCTGAATAATTTTTGATTTAATGATTGGATTTTCAGAAACTAGAACTCTATCTTATCCACTTGAGTGCTTAACCTTAAATATGATAATTAACAGGGTGGCCACTCAAATCAGATTTCAAATTTCCCTGATTTTTCCAGATAAAAATCTTAAAATTTCCAGGTTTTTCTTTCTTTTTTCTTATAAAGTATAGGATGTGTACAAGAAAAGTGTCTATATTATAAAATATTTTATTCAAAATGTTATTTTTTTAACGTATCTTCTTGAAAAAAAAAATTTATTTTGACAATTTGGCAAGATTTTTTATTTATTTTTTAATGTTTTGGTACAAAATTTTGAATCAAAAATCATACATTGACAAACATAAGAAAAAATAAAATATTAATATATAGTTGGCTCTTAAAAAACCTTTTTTTAAAGTTAGAATATGTTATAAAATATTAAAATGAAATAGAAAAAATTAGCATTAATGCAACAATTGTAATGATTTGTCAACAAACATTGCTGTTAGTGATTGTAAAAAAATGTGTGATTGGTTGGTTTGCTGAGAAAAAATAATTCACAGATTTCTTTGAATGGGAGTAGAAAAGCCTTCTGAAAAAGAGTGCGACATAAAATCTTTTATTATTAAATTATAACCAACTAATTTTTGGAGAATTTTATAAAGTTAAAAATACAAAAACATTTTGTCAAAATAGAAAAAAAAATTACCACCAAAGCATCGGAACAAACTTGAGCCATAAATGGATTCAGACCATGAAAGAATTTAAAAACAGAAGCTAATGTCCTAATCCCTTTTTCCACCAGAATCTTTCCTAAATTGCACAGTCCCATAGCCGTCAAAGATTTCTACATTCGTTTAGCAACCGTGGGAGAATTTTATGTGACATTCTAGTTTAACAGAGCTGTAATGGGGCAAATTTTGATGCAAGCAAAGTATAGCTAAGTTGATGATATTTCAACTGTTTGGAGATACATTTCTGTTTAAAAAAATGGGTATAATGGATGAAATAATTTAAATTAAGAAAATTAGTAAATAATTTCAATTAGTGAAATTAAAAAAATTATCAAAGAAAAAAATTCCAGCTTTTTCTTAAAATTCCCTGATTTTTCCAGGCTTTTATCCAAATTTCCCTGATGTTTCCAGGTTTTTTCCAGTATAAAAAAATTCCCTGATAATTCCAGGTTTTCCAGGTGGGTGGCCACCCTGATGAATTAATGTAGACAATGTTTTTAAATTATGAAATCTGACACAACTAACTAAGCACATTACTTACTTTAGATATTTACACCAGGCTTCATTTGCATGCATGAACAAGAGCTCATTTTGTTGATCTAGTTGCTTGCAGTATTTAATGATTTCTGGAGAACGAAAGCGAGAAACCTGCTTTGTCCTTAAAAGGAAGAAGTCCATTTACAAAATTATATATAAAAAAAAAACAAAAAAAACCAAGGAGTTTTTAAAAAACTTCCTTAGTTCAATGTTAGAATTCTTCTGAAAAATGAAATCTAAAATATATTCACACAAGAGGTCATGAATTAATGTTTAAGCAAACAAAAAACAGCTATGCAATCAAAATGTGACAGATCAACAATCAGGAAGGAAGAATTAAAAACATCAAGACATATTAGTTTGCAGGAAAAAACATAAAGATTTAATGCCAATAATGAGAAACACATTCAAGCTTTAACAGGTACATAAACAGATTTCGGCTTATTTTCCAGACTCAAAAGTGATTTGTCACATTTCCTTATCTAGGTTGGGCCCAAGCCTTTTTCAAGAATCTTCTTCTAGGTTACTCTTTTGTTTGCTATGGTCATCCACTGTCAGGATGGTGAAATCCCTATCTAGGCAGTCAACCTACCTGAGGTTGGGTCAACCCCTAGCTCTTATGCCAACGGTCTTATCCTAGAATATTTGTTGTGTTGATCGTACATTGTTCATTCTAACAAGGTGTCTAGCCCATTTTATTCTTCAGCTTTTTATATTTTTGATGACGCTAGGTTCTTTAAAAGCACAATAAAGTTCTAGATTTGAGCATCTGTGCTAAACGCTATCAATTTGCACTCTGCCAACTATAGCTCAATGAATCTAGCGGTATTATCATTCTTTTGTGTCACTGTCCAAGTTTCTGATGAGTAAAAGAGCATGAATCTAATAAAACATTTATAAATTTCTAGTTTTTTATTTTTCCTTTCATAAGGTTTGATTTTATGTATTTCATTAATCTGTAAAAACATCGACTGACTTTGATGCTTTGTATTGAGATTTTCTCCTTTTTGTAACCAGTGGCTTAAGTTTTAGTATTAATTTTTGATTTTGGCTTACTATTATGCATAAAAAATATTGATCATTACCATTAGAATTAAAAATATATAATATTTTAAAAAGATTTAATTTTTTTGAAAAAAATATTGGAGTTTTAGGCACCTCAAATTCAAATTAATTAATTTTTTCTGATTGTTTGGATATTTAATTTAAATTCCCTTTCTTTGGACTGCCACCACCTTGATAAGTGTTTTTGTTTTTATCTGTCTGAATTAACAATTACCAACCCTTGACATGATAATTTCCTTTAAAAAAATCATTCTGGAAATGGATTCTAAAAAAAAAAAACATATTAAGAATGGTCATTACAAAACACATCATATCGTTACAAAGAAAACTAAGAAAAATAACTTACGCACTAACTTTTATCCAATCTTTTGGGACACGGCTCAAATTACTATTAGGAACTTCAATTAAAAACTGTCAAAAGAATTAAATAAATTAGCCACTGTATTGCAAAGAAGAAAAAAAAACTCAATATAATTTATACTTTGAAATCAAAATTCAAATTTGCAAATTGAAAGAGAAAAAAAAAATTATGAAAAAACTATGCAATGGACCAAAACATTTATAATATATTTTAATCTTAAAATTAATTTTTCAGAAATTTGAACAAACCTTTTGCCCAGCAACTGTGGCATATTTAATGCTTATCAGTCTTAAGGTTTTACATATATCAGGTTTCAACTCATTTAACTTGTCTTCCAAATTGGAAATTTCATCTTTACATCTTTCCAACTCAGGAAACATAGATAAGTCACGAAAGATTTTGGTTTTGTCACCAGTCCTATGAAAATGAAATAATTTTGTTATACACAAATGAATAAAAGAAATTCCTAAATAAAAAGTAATTGGGTTTACATTTCGTTTACTTGTTTTAATAAACAAAGTTAAATAAATAATTTCGTTTTTAAGAAATTTATTTCTTCCACAACGGTGGAGGGAACAAGAAAAAAATTATAGAAAACTAAACTTGGATAATACAATTGTTTAATAATATTACAAGAATAGATTAACTTTAAACAAGTAAAATTAAGCATAATTCGAGAATGTTAAAATTTTTTCCTTTCGTTTGAATTATTAACTGCACATAAGCTGAAAGTACATAAAACGCATAATATAAGATAAAAACACACACACAAAAAAGGAATTCAAAATAAAAGAAGAAAAAATTATTACAAGTTTAAGAAAAATGAAGGACAATATTACAAAAATTATTTGTAAGTATATGACCATTGATCCCTTATCTGCAAAACAAATAATGATAATAAAATCTTACTTTGCTGCTTCAGGATCTATATTTAGCAAATACTTTTCCACATCACTCAACAAACGTGTGATATCAGAGAGAATATGCTTAATTCGAGGTACTTTGATTTCACTCTTTATTTTATCAGATATAGAACTGAGCTCCATGTAAATTTTTGTAAGAGCTTCAGTAAGCTTCAGAAAGTCACAACATGAGCACTACAGAAAAGAAATTACAAAAACGAGTTCAGAATATTTGGAAGAGACAAAATTAATTATATATTACTGAACATTTTAAGTCAGAAAAAGATTATTTAAATAATATCAAATAATATCGAAGTATTTAGATATTCAAAACAGGAAAGAAACTATGATAAAATAAACAACTATGCAGAAACTAAATCATAATAACAGCAACAAAATAGTAAAAAAAAACGAGTAGCAGAATTAGACATTCAAATTTGAGAAAAAAATTTCAATAACAATGAAAAAAATATAAGTTAAATGAACTATGATAAAAGAAACTATATATTAACTAAATTATAATAAGACCAATAAAAAATAAAGAAAAAACATTTTTTCCAGATTTAGATATTTAAATTAGTTAATGAATTTCAATTACAAGGGAAAAATATTGATTAGTACAATTGTATTAAAATAAATAGCCATAAAAAAAATCAAGTAAAGAAAAAAAAAACTGTGTAAATTGACAGCTCTGTGCAAAAAAAAAAAAAAAAAACTTTGTTGAATGTTATGAAGTCAGCAGCCTTTTAATAAAAGATCCCATTGTGCCCCTGGATCAACAGGATGGTGGATTTTTATTTCTATTTCTTCTGTATGCAGCATAATTTTTTGGGAGGGGGGTAGAGGGGCAAGTAAGTTAGAAATCATTAAAATTTTTAAAACCTCAATATAACATGAAAATCCTACACTAATTTTTTTATGTTATTTTTTTCTCTAAATTCTTCTTCTTAGTTTATTATTTAAAATCAAACACTTTCTCACACTTTTTCATTCGCATCCTGCCTTTTATTCTACTTTTGGAATCAAGTATGCTTGAATTAACATTTTAAGTTTTCTCTTAAACTGAGCTGTGAGAACCGAAAAATTCCCTTGGCCCATTTAATGGACCAATTGTAATTAATAACGTTTCCTTTTTTGCATGTGCTTTAGGAGTTCATTGGAACTTGTTTGCAACATTTTCCCTAGTTTTTCAGACAGAAGCACTTCAATCTTGGATTGCTCGGTGTCTTGCATTCTATACCAGTGATAACAATTATATATACACAGTGATACCAGAAAAACAATTTTAGCAGAAAACAACAAAAAGTATAAAAAGTTTTAAGATATGTGTGTTAGCAGGACAACACTTCATTAAGGGACACACTGCCTACCAACACACAGGAGCCTTTTTGTTGTCAGTGGTGAAACCAAAAACTGATATACAACTATTCTAACTTTAACTTTATCTTTATTTATTTTTCTGATTTATGGGCATTTCTTTATTATGTCTTAGTTTGTATACTTTTAAGATTAAGATTTACTTTGTGATTGTTTTTCATTTAATTTTTTTTGCATTTATATTCCATTTTTTCTAATTGAATTTTCTTATTTGATTTTCCATTATGGGGCCTCGAGGCACATTCAGTTTTTTGTTTCACCACTGACAACAGAAAGGCTCCTGTGTGTTGGCAGGCAGCGTGTCCCCTGATGAAGTGCTGTTCTGCTAACACACATATCTTAATTTTTTAAAAATAATTTTTGTTGTTTTCTGCTAAAAAAGCTATGCAATTTATAGTTATAATAACAAATTATCAAAAAATGCCAGGCTCTAATTTCTTATTAAAAGTATTATTATTAATTTGTGATTAATCCCTCAATAAATGTACTGTTGTTTTTGTAGAACATATTATTTCATTTTACATTCAAAATTATATCTGTAAACTATTTTACATTATAGGTAAGTGAACAACTTTTAAACGTATTTTTTTCTTTGCGTGCCGTCAGATTTTGAAATTGTTAAAAATGTGCCTCGACAAAAAAAAAAAAAAAGGCTGAGAATCACTGCCTTATAGAATAATTGCTTAATAAAAACTTCTATTTTGCATCGGTACACCCGTTTATTTTTCCTACGCGACTACGCTGCTTTTTCATATATTTAAGAAAAACTTTATTTGATATCAAGACTTCTTGCTACTCTTAACACAATCCCTGTGGAAGCTATCAATACTTTAAGATATTTTTAAAAACAAAGATTACTTAAAATTATCAAAAAAATATTCTTACATACAAAATTTAAAGATTTTGCCTATTCAAACTGCATTGAAGCAAAAACAAATTATAATAGAATTTAGTCTCAAACAATAAAACAAATGATAAATAATGACCCTTTAGAGATGATAAAGAGAAATGCAGATTTTGGAGATACCTTTTGATAAAAAACTGAGCAAAGAACCCTTTCTAAATCTGGCAACTTGTTAAGCAGTTTTCCAACTGCTTTGTAAACAACAGTTTCTGAATACAGAATCTCACTCAAAATATCTAGCCTTTCCTCAATCCCCCTATAAATAAAGAATTCTTTTAGTACAATATTACAAAACATAATTTTAAATGTATGTAAATAATATAAACTAGCTCGTTAACAATTACTCAAAAGAGAAGAATGGTAAAGTTTTCCATTTACAAGAGAAAATTCGAAATGAATAGTTGATACTCTTTAAGCATGTCCAGATATTTTTATAAAGGCGGGGCACTATTGGACATAGAAGTTGGGCAGCTCCAAAGTGCAGGGCACATCGGCCAGAGGTATATTGGAAAATAGCTATACTTACCAAACACCTGCTTTTTCCAACATCCACAAGATAAAGAGCCTTGGTAGCTTAGGGGATAGAGCGCTCGCCTCCCAATGAGTTGAACCGGGTTCGAATCACAGCAATGGCGGCTGATTCAAATTCCGCACCCGGTTCGCACCAATTCTGTGCTGAAGTTAAAGATCCTCAGAGGTAAACAGATCTTGGGTTAGAGTCCCCTTGCTGTCAGACTAACCGAGGGAAATTTTCATGGTTTTCCTCTTCATATAACGCAAATTCGGGATAGTTACATAAAAAATTCCTCCACGATGACAAATTTTGTCCAACACTTGATCCAGGAAATTCCTTGTTTTCTGGATTGAGACCAAAATTACAAGGCTATGGAGTTGAACATTAGTAAGTAGTCATAAACCCAAAATGGGGTCGGCTGTTTAACAGTGATTATAAAATAAATTAAATAAAATCTACTAATAGTTGAATAGCTTTTTGAAGTAGACAAATATAAAGTCAATCATTTAGAATGTTTATTCGCTTCATTAGTGATGAACACAAATTCACAGACAAGAAAAAAAACTATAAAGTGAGAAAAGATTTGAATTAAAAAAATAGGTATAAGCAAGTAAAATAATTCAATTTTTTTAGATTTCATTGCAATTCTAGCAAAAGTTTAAAATTGAAAGATTTATGATTTTGAGCTTTTAAGTCTGAACCTGAACTTCAAGTACAGCCAAGTACAAGATTCCATCAAGTGGAGGAGGTTACTTCAAAACATATTAAATAGGAGTCATTCACATAATATTTATTGTTATGAGAATAGTCCCAGAAGAACCTTGCAGGAATGAAGGTAGAACAAAGTAATATAATTTTTTTTAAAGTCAATTCCTACCGAGGTTAACAAAGAAAAATTTTATTTAGTAGCTTTTTATTAAATAACTAAACTTTTTTTCTCCCATACAAAACTAAAATGAATTAATTAAACTTAACTGTTGAATTAATATTGGAAAAAACTGTATTAACATCAAGTGTTATCCACTACAAATTTAAAAAAATGTATCTGAACTTGAATGGATGAATAAAAAGTATTTTATTAACGACTGAAAATTTGAACAAGATATATAAATATATATAGGGAGAAAATGAACTAATAGTAGGAATTGAAAAAAAGGCGTGCGTTATCAGACAACTATAAAAGTATAAATTTGGTGACTTGGACCACACAATGTTCTTTATTCAATTTATCTGACACAGCGAATATAGAATAATTAAATATTTAACGATGCACAATAGACTATTTTTTTGTTTGTTCAAATAGAGCTATAACTTAGAATTTTTGAAATATATGAAAAACTGAATCGTTTATAGTGAAATTTAAAACAATGACTAACCAATCAGATAATTCCATTTCGTTTTTCGCTCATCCCTATTTAATGAATGAATTAATATTTGAAGAAACTTTATTATTGACATCAAGTGTCATCCACCACAAGTTTAAAAAAATTTATTTGAACTTGAGTGAATGAATAAAAAGTATTTCATTAACAATTGAAAATTTGAACAAGATATGGGGAGAGTGTGAACTAATAGTAGGAATTGAAAAAAGAAGCTGAAATAAACATATGATAAGCAAAAAGTGAAAGAATTAAAATAAAGAAATTAATTAAGTCACCCTATATTCTTGAGTGGCTTTGAAATCCATGATTTTAGCAATCTTTCACCAAATTTTGTGAAGGTTTTATTCAACACCCAAAAAAGACTTCCATGTTCTGAATGGGAGATGTTATTTCTCATGATTTCCAAACCTTTTAATGTTGCTGCAGTCAAAACCATGAATTCTTCACATACTAATGGTTTCATGTCTCTAAAAAATAAAATAAAATTAATTACTTATGAAGAATGCTTTACTGTTAAAAACTTTTCTCTATAATAGCATACCTGCCAACATAGAGAGAAAAAAATCCAGTAGATTTTACGAAATAATAAGTAATCACGATAATTGTTGCATAATGTACTAAATATTTTAGAAGTAGGAAATTCTAGGGATTTTTATAGTCATCAAAGTAGAAAAAACTGCAATATTCTACAGTTATGATTGGCATTAAACATACTTGAAATGATATGTATTATGTTTACTCATAATTTTGAATATTAATAGGGATTTAATTCATCAAACATAGTTCAAAGATTTTTTTAATTAATTTAAAAAGAATTCTGTGAGTAAAAATAAACTGAACATGTTAGAACAAAAAATGCTTTTAATTGATTTCTATAATTTAAGTATGTATTAGTAATACTTTTTAATTATTCAAGCAAGCAATAATCTGCACAAAAAATTAATTTCAAAAAGGCTTTTTAAAGGAAACTTACTCAATTTTACGGAATTTTCTAAAATGTACCAAAACCAGGTGAATTTTAAATAAACCAGTAGACCAGGAGAAATTGGCAAAATCCAGTAGTCTACTGGAAAATCCAGTAGAGTTGTATATGTAATAGGGACCATTCAAATATTACTTAAGCCTGTTTCTGACATTCATGGATTCCCCCTCACTTTTATTAATAAAAATAAGCAAATAACAAGCCTCCTCCCCTGTTGGTTTCTAACGCAATATTTGAACCGTTCTATATACGAGGTGTGACAAATAAATAACCGGACCGTGCATGCCCTAGTTGTTAGGTTTGGAGTGGGGGAGTTGAAACAATAATTACTTGTCCCTGACTCTTTTGTTGCTTGTGGCATGGTATTCTATCCCTTTATCCAATTTAGTTTGTTTTCTACCCTTGCTTAAGTAAGACATTGCTGTGTCAAAGTGCAAGAATCATTAGCTTAAAAATCAATCAGAAAGTTAATTTGAAATTCCTCAAAAAATTAAAATTAACAGAATTTAATTGGATGTCACGTAGTCAAATTTCGGAATGGCACAAGCAATTCTTGGAAGGTCGGGAGCCTGTTGAAGATGATTAATGTTCTGGTCATCTTGTGACCTTAAGAGCTGATGAAAACATTATAAAATTAATATAATCATGTATGAAAACCGACGTTTGAGTGTTCAAACTAATGTCAGATATTATTATTTCATGGAAGACTTTAAGACGAAGGTTTGAGCAAAACCTGACATGCAAGCAAAAAATGAACAGAAAAAACATTTGCTCTGACATCATAGAACGCTTTACAGAAGAACTTGAACTTCATCATATGTGTGGAGAAACGTGTTATTGGAGTTAATTCGATGTTAACGGAAGCCAAACAGTAAACCAGCAGTACAACATAGAGGTCCTAAGAAAACCTAGAGAAGTTGTGACGAAGAAAAGGCCAGATTTCTGGAATAACAACATGAGGATTTTGCACCAAGACATTGCATTCTCTATAAAACAGGTCTTGACAAAAAAAAAAAAAAAAAAAAAAAAAAAAAAAAAAAAAAANAAAAAAAAAAAGAATTCTTTACTGTGTTCGAGTATCCATGCACCTTCTACCTGTCTACAAAAGTGAAAATTTCATTGAAAGAAACACATTTTCAGCCTATGTAAGAGGCGAATGTTAAAAGCGATGAACTAGATAATTAATTTTTCTGGAATTTGAAAACAATAATAAATTAAAAAATGATGGGTGATGTAGGTGCACCTTCGTTATTGTTGCATTTTTTAAGTGATCCAGTTTCTTTCAGTTTTGGTTTGTTCTTGAGTATGATGTTTATTAATTGGTAGAACTATTATGTTTAAGATTATTAAAAAGTTGTTAAGTTTTTAATGTCAGTATTGGTAGTTTTTTCAAACAGAGTTGTGTTTTAATTAAGTTCTAGTTCCTTGCTTTAATATTTAAGTTGTGTTTTAAATCAATTCCAGTTCATGTTTTAACAGTGAATGCAAAAATAGCATATTTCTGAAGAAGGTGACACCTAATGACCTGTAGTGCTGCTTTAAATAGTGGAAAACTCATATGCAGCCATGTATAGATAGGGAAGGGGAGTATAGTGATGAGGACTAACTGGTATTTGTAAATGTTTTCAATAAAGCTAATTTTTAACACTAGTGCAGTTATTTAATTGTCACACCCCATATGTTAAAAAAGAATGATTCTTTCCTTAAATATTATACACAAATTTTTAGAAATAAAAACAGTGTCTGTTGCTTAGTGTGATTAATTGGTACTGGAAGATTTTAATTCAAATCAGCGTTTCAGTTCACTAACAGAATTTAAAAACCCCTCATAAAAAAAAAAAAATGGATGGTAATTCTTCAGTCTTGCGCACTATTTTGTACGAAAAAAGAAATCATTAAAGCAACTTTATATAGTTTAACTTCTAATAAAACTTTTTGAACAAGTAAGTGAAACTATTTTAATTCAAATTTCAAATCAATACGGTTAAAGTAAATAACATAAAAATTGCTTATTTTCAATTATTCCTTGCTAAGGTTTGCAAAAGAGAAAGAAAATCTTTACTATTTGCCAGTTAAGACGAAGAACTAAACAGAGTATTTTCAATCATAGGAAAAATCTCTTACCACCTACACTGCATCAGATCTTGTATTTTAAAAATAAATTTAAGACTCCATCTCTCTAAAAGTGATTAAAAGTAATTTATCCCTTAGGTGAAGCTGAAAAAGGACCCGATATTGTCTGCCATAAAACATCCGAGAATGAGCGATTTCTTAAAAAGTGAATGCTGCAGAGCGCATTTGATTTTGGGGCTAAATTTCATTTTTAGAAAATTTCTCAGACTGACATAGTTATTTTGGTTCCAAAGTCTGGTGGTCTCAATTCTGATAACTTAAAAAACTCTAATACAGTCAAACCCCGCTATAGTGAACTCCCAGATATAGTGAACGAAATGTTCAGTCCCATGCCTTGCTATGTACCTATAATGTAATTTTTTGTGGATTTTGTGGAACCAAAAGTGTGAGGAAGTTGGATATATAGAACTTTTTTCTTTCTTCGACTGGCTTTTCGTCTTCACTTTTTTTTGTCATAATTTTGAAATGTCTACTTCAAAATAAATACTTATACTGATTTTTAAAATCATTTATAGAGTGGAATGTAGCAATAAGCATTTTTTATTGTTTGCTTCTTTTATCTCACTTTTCCATCCCTAACCAAAGGCCAAGCCAGGCAGATGCATGGACAAATTTTTCCCTGAATCAGTTTTTCCCATCAGTTAAAGATAACTAATTTTTAAAATTTTTTCTTTTTTTTACACAAGACCAAGAGTATGAAAAATAAAAGCAAGTTAACACATTTTTTGTTACTACTATTTTTCAGTCATTTTTGTATTTCATTTTATTGGTTATTTATCTCAATAATGTATACTAAAAAGAAGGAGTTCTGAACTATTAGTTAAAATTGTTTGTGGAACGAATATAGTGAACAAAATTTCGGTCCCTTGAAGGTTCTCTATCTCTGACTGTATTATCAGATGCAGGGTTACTCACAATGCCCTCCCTGCATAAATGATTTTGTTGGAGGAAATTTCATGACAATAAACAGTTGATTTTACTATCAAGTGAATTTACAAACCAGTGAACATTGTAATAGCAATTTTAAAAATATGTTAATGTATAATTCATTTTTATGAATGGAATTGAATTCATGACTCACATAATATTATTCATAATGCTCTCCAGTTTGAAGCTTGATAAGTATTCAACAATAGCTGACAAACAGGAAACTATCCCAGAAGGAAGAGATAATATTTTCTGCATGATACTATCTTTGGAAGGCGATTCTTCAGAAACAGCTGCTTGATTATAAAACCTTGAAACCTTTTCCAATGCTGATGAAAATTCAAAAAAGTTAGCTTTCATTTTTTCCAGTCTAGCTGACCTAGAAATTTCAAAATTAAAATCAATTAAGGTGTTTGCTTTTTCAAATATTTTCTTTAAAATGAGTGTGATGTGAAGTAATTTTGTATTATATTGCACCTCATTATGTCACCAACATGGATAAGATCAAAATATTTTTTCAATATTTAATATTTCAAAAAGTAACAATATAAGGAAGCCCAGTTACAATAGTTGGTTATCAAATCCTATTCTTGCTACTTCATGGTGACCACTGCAGATAAAACAGAGTTCTAAGAGATTTTCAGAGTAAATTTCTAAACTATTTCACAGATACAGTGGAGCATCGTTTATACGACGATCACTTATACGACGTTTTAGTGTGGTCCCAAATCATTCCTATTCATTTTAATGTAAAAATAGATCGTTTATACGATGCACAGAATCGGTTATACATCGGTTTTTAGATTTTGTTAACGTTTATTTAATTTTTTATTTTTCTGCGTATTTTAAAAAAGGGCGGAATTTGTCAACATGAATGATACAGAAAAGGGTGCCAACAAGAATGCTTGGATGACGACCGTAATTTTTACTAGATGACTGAAAAAACTAGACAATGTTATGAAGAGGCAAAAACGAAAAATTTTGCTATTCATCGACCAATGTCTAGCGCACCCATCGGATACTAATTATTTTGGAAAATGTAAAAGTTCTCTTTTTTTTCTGCAAATTGCACAAGTGCGCTTCAGCCATTAGATTTGGCCGTGATTAGAAATCTAAAATTGCATCATAGAAAACAGTAAGTTCAACTAGCTATTCAAAGCATTGTAGAAACTAATCGCAAGAAGATATAATTAAAGGTAACATACATTCAAATTGCTCACTGCAAGTTTTCTTCCTTGGTTATTTGTTTGTTTTGCTTTGTCTAATTTAGAAATTTACGTAATCAACACGTTAAGCATTAAAATTAACTGAAAACAGAGTTAGTTTCAGTTTTAGAAATGAAACTCAATTATACGACGTTATTGTTTATACGACGTTTTTCGGTGGTCCCTATGGAATCGTATAAACGATGCTCCACTGTATTACTGATTAAAATTACCGTCATTTTAATTAAAATTAAAAAAATTAGATATATATGTATTTTTATATATAAGGAATTTGCAATAAATGTAGAAAATTTGTTTGAAGTTAAATTGTTAATTTCACCAATCAAATTTTTTAAAATAATTTTTTCACATACGTAACTTTAATAACACGGAACAAAATAAATAAACATAAAAATTTTAATGTTGTCAATTAGCATTACTATCTACAGATGAAAATTGAAACTAATTTTGAAACTTGGTTAGAAGGAATCAGTTTTCTAAATAAGGGGAATGCAGCAAAGTGTACAGTATAGTTCTATCTTCTCCAATTTCTTTTTTAGTTGGCTTAAATCCTTTTAGGGAGGTTCAGTGAATGATACTTAAAGAAATATGCATATACTTGCTGCTAAAGCTGTAACTAATTCTCGAACAATAAACAAATTTTTCCAAATAAGTTTTTTTTTCTTCATATAAGCCTATCTGAGGAAGATAATAAAAAAATCCAATCCAAGAAAATAACTTTAAAAGAAACATTTTTTAAGATTATTGAAAACTCACCTCTCATAACAGTAACCATTAATGAGACTATCTGTTTCTTTACTGATTTCAGAAGGTAATAAAATTTCTGAAGGGCTCAACTGATGCAAACAGCTTTCAAGTCTGTTCCTGAGTGGCAGCTCATCGTCAAATGAGGAATACCATAAATCACCAGAAGACGGGTTTACACCCTGAAGATATAAAATTTATATTAGTAAAAATATTAGTGTCGATTAAAAACAAGTAAAAACTTTGAATTATTAATTCAAAGAAAACTTCAAATTAAGAATACGATAAATCACACATCGAGTGAATACCATTACTACTTTTCTCTTTAGTGATACTGTTATCAATGACTCAAACTAAGCACTTTTTTTTTTTACCAGTTTTCCATTCATGTTCTCATCAATTCAATTCCTTTTCATTGTACTAACAAGGGTTCCCACTCAATTTCAGAAAAAAAATTCCTCGACTTTTTCAGGTATACCAGGTAAAGTTTGAGGAAAATTGAGACAATATTTTTATCAGAAAACTTTGATTATATTATTTGTAATGTAAAATATTAAATGAGGAAGTAATATTAAATGAGAAAATAATATTAAATGAGGAAGGGAATATTTCAGTTTGACTAGAATGTGAAATTTCTACAACAAATTATTCAACTCTAATCTCAATAATTGATTACTAGTACTGACAATTTTAAGAATGGTTATTTTCCAGGTATGACATAGGAATATTCTAGGCTTTTGAAAAAAAATTGCAACTTTCCCTGATTTTTGAAGTTAAAATGAAATTCCCAGACAATTCCAGGTTTTCCCTGACCTGTGAAAACCCTGAATCCTTTACAAAATTAGTTTTTAAACAAAAAAGATAATGTACAAAAAGGTATAAGCAAAACAACGAAGCAAAATTTTTTTTCCTTTCGTTCAGTGCAATGTTCTTTTAAAAGAAGAGATACACTCATTTTAACTAAACCTATACTACACTTATTTTGGCTTTTTTTTTAAAGAAATTTATTTTTCTTTCCATTTGTTGTTTTTTCTTTCCTTCCAATTTTTTTTAAATGATACATTGAATAGCTTGGAATGCTATTATTTTTATTAATCAATTATCAACTGTTCAATTTTTTAAAAATATTTAATATATTTTTTTTGACAAGGAGTTTCTTCTATTTGGGTTGGAAGAAAACTATTTCTTCCAAAGCAGTTTTTTTTCAGCTCTAACTTAGAATAAAAACAGACAACAGAAGAAAATAAAAGAAAGAAGACTGAAAACACAATTTTAACTACTAAATAATTTAAAGCTAAGTAAATTAAAATGTATAATTACCACTAAACTAATTTGACATCCTTTTCTATCTTTTGAAGAAGTCTCAAAGACACATACCAGACATCTTGAGTTTATATCAGCATCATATACTTCCTTATTGTCTAAATCACTATCACCTTCAAGAGTTTGAAATTGTATGACTAGTTAAAGACAATAAAATTCTAGATAATAAGTTCGAGAATATGAAGTTTAAATGCAAAACAGAGAAATAAAAAATATGTATAGTTTTTTTTCCAATAAAATATAATTAAAAACAACAAAAAAACAATAAATAAAAACTATGTTACCCTAATAACATAAACTGAAATGGCCTACAATTTTTTTGACCTATGACTGACATTAATGTGACTTATAAAGATCATGTTTTTATTATGTTTACTATTTTTTTGAATTTATAATTTTAAGTTATAATAAATATTTAATTCAACATAGATAATTATATAATTTTTTTAAATTAATTTAAGAATAGAAATTTCTGAATAAATTAATCAATGAAAAATCATTTTACAATATTTAAAAAAGAAAAGCTTCATTTCGTACAATAAATAAAACTTACTTCATTATTTAACAATAATACCTATTTAATTACAGTAAAAAGTTTCATATCTGTAAAAGCTTTTTGTTTTGTTTAGTATGAAAAAAAAAATTGTTTTAAAAAATTTAAAAAAAAACAGCAACTTTTCTATGGCTTTACGTAAGGTATAAAATATTTAGTGCAAGTTATAAAAATAGATTTGATATAGACTCAGTTAATTTTACAGATATTTTGTTCGTTTTGTGTAAATTTTAACTCAAATGCGTTAAAAGAATTTCTAATAGAAGTTTTAAAAAAGTAGTGGAAATGTCAGTTTATTTGATGTTATTAATATTTGAAAACTATCAGCGTTTCATCTGCTTTCTTCAAGAAGTTTATTAGAAATTCTTGCAACACATTTTAAGATAAAATTTATAAAAAATGAACAAAATATCTGATTAAATTAATTTTTTTAAAAGTTACACTCAATATTTTATTTCTTACATTTTCAAGAAAAACCATAAAAAGCATTTTTTTTTCTTTTTAAATTTTTTAAAACTATTTTATTTTTTACTTTTCTTCCCTGAATTTTTAAGCCTTTAATAAAAGCACTTTATTTTCTCTGAAAATTTTTTTCCTCTTTCTAAATTTGGTACTAACAGTAAAACTTAATATGAGGTCAGATGTATTTGTATCGCATATAACTACAGAGAAGAGCTTATATAAAACTGCTTTCAAACTTTATTTTTTATTTTATTTTATGACCGCCGTTGAACAGTCGACCCAATTTTTGGGTTTACAACTACAAATGTTCAACGCCGTAGCCCTGTAATTTTGAACCAATCCAGAAGACAAGGAAACTCCTGGATCGGTACCCCCAGAGGTATTGATTTGTTATGGGAACATGGAGGACTTTGAGACTCGACAGATTTAACGTGCATCAGTCACCATTTACTACACGGGGAGTCTTCGACCAGCAGGGACCGAACCCACGAACTCTTGGACATGGGCCCGGCACCCCACTGACCAGGCTATCCCGGCCTAGTAGAGACAATTTAATTTTACATAGATAACTAGCAGCGTTACATTACAGCCACAAAGAATGGACATCGACAATAACAGTACAATATAAAATAGCTAGCCACGTCACAGGTATTTTTTTTTTTTATTTTTTTTTAAAAACATTTAACATAAATGGCCATCACGGGTAGCTGAAAAGCTCCGGACTCACTGTCTGTCCCCAGGGACTGGGAGCAGGGTCAGTGGTGAGGCTTGTGTGGTATGTATGTTTTGTTTATGTTGTGTTGCGTGTTTTACCTATTTTTCTTATGAGTAGTAGTTGAGGCAGTGTTTTAGCGGATCATGATATAGATTACTGTTTTTTATTGTGTGTGCGTTTATAGACAGTTAAGCCATCTCTTGTTTGTGTGGATCGAGCTTAAGTTTTTTTTTTTTTTTTTTTTTTTTTTTTTTTTTTTAAATTTTATTTGCCTCACGGACAACAGCTTGTGTTGACTGACTGCCTGCCAAATGCTTGCTGGTCAGGGGTGGGGCCAGAGTGTGTTTTTATGCTGCAGCAATGGTTTGCCTGGAGCCCTGACACCTCAACATTGTATTTGCTGCCAGTATTTTTACAAAGTTATTATAAGGTTTATGACATATTGTCTGTGATGTTTCTGGTTATGGCTAGAATATTTATAACCAGAAAGTTAAACTCTATTGTTAACAGAGTGGATAGAAACTTAAGATGGAGTTTTTTTTATTAGTATCAGAATAGCAATAAAATTATCAATTAAATTAATATGTGCTAATTTAGATACAATACAAAAAAGGTGATATTGTAACAATTAATACTTTCCTGGAGTTTGGTGAACATTTTAATTGAGTTTAGATCAGAATTATTCAAGCTCTTGGGAATGTCCTAAGTCATACAGGGTGCATAGCCAAGTCTTTCAACAAAAATAAGCACCTTTTAAGCACTCAAAAAATATTTTTAAGCACTATATACATTAACAAAATGCAAAATAATTTTCAGATTTTACATGATCATGATAAAATAACTAGTTTCTGACAAAGAATCCTTTTCTTGATTATATTAGGTATTATAAAAAGATCAAGAGATTTTTCGGTTCAATATTAGAGAGTGTTAAATGAAGTCTGAAACTGAGAGTAACTTGCAAAATGCAGCAGAGTTGCACATGAGATAGTAATAATCTCACTGAACTCAGCTCAGTATATATGCACATACGGACTCGCAAATAGTTCATAAAACATGTAAAATAATTGGTGCTTTCATACGCTATGGACCGACAGTACGACAAAATAGACTGTGGTTGAACGAACTGTGAAAACATTTAATAGAACAATGTGAAAACCACACTTTTGCATAATATGTGGTAAAAATCGACACATTAAAGAAAAAAATCTAATTTTCGAAAAGGGAAAATTAAGCCCTTTTTAAAAACACCCAATGAAAAAAGTACTTTTGAGGGCTTTCAAATAACGAAAATCGAAAATAAGCACCTTTAAGCACTTTTTAAAAACGCCACGCACCATGTCATAATTGGATTTAAAATTTCAACAACCCACTCCACAAATCTAAACAACACTATGAAATCATGCACAAATCTAAAAGACACATACTGATACAATAAATAAAGATAAAATGTTTCCATTTTTTAATGTTTCCTGTTTTTTACCCTAGCTAATGGCTTTACATTATTAGATTAAGCATAACACTATTTTAAAAGTTGATGTCATAAAAATAAAGATAAACTGTTATCAACATAATTTAGCTCCAAGTTGTTGCTTTAGGCCATCTCATGATAGTCCCAATCAAGCAATTTTTTCTGGTACTTATTCAGTTTGGATCGTGAAAAACCTATTACCACAGTATAGTATTACCTATATTAGTATATCTGGCATTTATTAAAAACTGCACCAATCAGTATTTTAACTCCATTGATTTTGCTTCTTAGTAAACAAGTAACAATTTTTTGTTTGAACTAGCTCTATAGAAACCCGTTTTAAAAACACAACTGTAAAGAAAATAAACATGTGGTTTCAGATAACTTTAGAAATGCTAATTCAATGACATAGCACCAATCCACATGCCATTCACATTGAGCTTGTAAAAAATAATTAAACATTAGAACATGCAATAAAATATTATGCAGAATAGTTTACAGTTCTATTTACAACAATGGCTTATGTTTAACTAATGTGAAAAAACCATTTTTGAAACATCTCTCACAAATGGACTAATTAAAGTGTTTAAAATTTATTTTAGCTCAGTGTAGTTGATGTCCAAGTTTCAGAACCCTACAACAATTGGTTAATGATTTATAAGAGATTAGAAATACCGTTTGGTAATAAGGGCAGATAAATTTATTAAGTAAACACGAAAAAGAAAAGCTGAAAAATGGAAAAGTAAGTAGATAAATTTTTTCATTTGATGTGAAGAATTAAAAACACAGGTAATTACAAGCTTCAAGTTCCAAAAGTAGATCAATCCTGTTTAATAATAATAATAAAAAATAAAGGAAAGAATTGAATATATATTTTTTGAATGAAAACATACATAAATCCAAAACAAAGTCTGTAGCAAATATTTTCAATATTCAGCTTCATTAATACATTCATAATTTATTTCTCTCAGCCAAAATTGTGTTTCTTTAATTGCTTTTGTCTCTTCATCAACTTTTAACCATGTTTATTAAGCAGTATAAATGATTAGTTATAGTTAACATAGTAAGAGGATAAAGTTAACATAGTAAGAGGATTTGTTTTCTTTACATATAAAGTTTTATAACAGATCCCAAATAAAAATAAAATGCAAACTTTTTTTTCTTATCCAGAAAAAGGTTTCATTAGAGATGTGTTTATTTTGAGTATCAAAAAGCATTTAGAAAAAAAAGATTTTTCCAGAAAACGGACATCCTAATACAGGACTTTGTACTGTATTAAAAGTAGCAAAGTAAGTAAAGCATTGAACCAAGAGGAACTATCAAAATCTAATAGAACTCAGGAGGTTAAAAAAAAACTTTAAAAGGATATCTTCACCAATCAAAGTAGTTCTAGTGTAAAGTGCATAAAGCTCTCTAGAAAAGAGTTCATTCTTTTTGTCACTGGCAGCTTTTAAAGCGGCAGTTTCTGTTTGTTTAATGACCCCAACTTTATAACCTTTGAGTACCAATTTTTTCACGTGGTAAAACATGCGCTGTACAGGAATTATGGCAGTCATGAAGTTATGATTTGGAAAGCAGGCAATATTCAATATTTTGGATGCAATCTAGAAAAGAATAATGTAAGATAAATAAAAATTATTTATTATCATAAGAAATTTAAAACATTTTTTACATTAAGGGAAGTTGACACTAGGAACGGCAAGTTTCTTCCATTCCTAGTATTCACAATGAAAAAAATTTCAGCAAAAAAAAAAAAAAAAAAAAAAAAAAAATTAACCTTAAAGAAATAGTTTCCTTCCAACCCAAATGAAAGAAATTGTTTTTGAAAAAGAAATATCAAAGTTACAAAAACTTTTTAAAAAGTGTACAATTGCAATCCTAGTTTAAATAATACTATTTATTTATAAGTTATTTAATATATAATTTTTAATAGTGTGAAAATTAAAAACCAACATTTGGAAACAAAAATAAATTTAATGAATTTGCTAAGAAATTAAAATAACTGTAGTTTTTCAATATTTTATATAAATGAGTATAAAAAAATTTCTTTTTATAATTATATAAAAAACTGTTAAAATATAATAATTAAATTGACGAATCACATACTTAATATATACACTTCTACAAATCATATATTGAATTCACAATTGAAAATAAGTAAGAATAATCAAATTGACTTTTAAATAATATGATATACAAATCTAAAAATTCTATACAAAACTAAAATAAATAATAAGAAAAGAGCTGTTTTTTAAAAAAAATAAATTTTATAGGTCATTTTAAGTTTCTTCCGCTTGATCTAGTTTCTTCCGATTTGTTCAGTTTATTCAGATTTCTCAAAAAATCTGGTAGAAATAGGATTCTTCTGTATAAGATTCTGACTCTGATTGATACTATCTTGTCTTTCAATGTTAAAGCTAATTACACTCTAAGTGTGAAATGAGTATAGTAACTAAGAAAGTTGTAAATCTATTTTTAAAATTTTTCACATGAACTGCAATATATAGTTTAGTTATTATTTAGTAATATGCCTTAATTATGTAATCTAGATATTTATTGCTTTTTCCTGCTTTAATTGTTTTTTTGTATATCTAAATTAAAATAAAGTAAATTTGGTTTTAGCTGCTTTAGGCGCTTTCCCATTTTGATTTAATGTTTTAATTGTAAATGTACCTTTTTGTCTTTTCTATATTTGTAAATTAGATTCATTTTCCAACTAATTATGTAATCACATGATGTGTTTTGAAGGTTAAAAGAACATCAAAATTACACTTTTAAAATAATTAAACCACACATTACAAGTATTTATTCAAATATCTGAAATAGGAAAATTATATCAAATTAAATAAAATCTTTCTAAAATAGTTGTGAAATTTTCTCAATAAAAAGCAATATAGCATAAAAAAATAATAATTATGCAATAACTCCACTGTTACAGTATAATTACTGTAATTACACTTCACAGCACTGTTATAGTAAGTTGGGTTCAATACTGGTTTTTACTTAACTTAGTAACTTCAAATGTTACTAAGAACTGAATGTAAGTTTCCTATTAAATAGAAAAGAACTGAAGTGCATTAGAAGTATGTGCCTTTTTAATAAAACTGAAATACAAAACAAAGGCTTACATTTTTATAATTAAAATACTGAAATTTATATTTATTTAAGTTTCTTAAATTTGTAATCCGTTTTTATCCAAATAAATGCAGGGTATCTGCTACACTTTAGATTTTCAAATCCATGACTAATTCCAGGAATTTTTCATGATTTACCGAAGTTACTATTTTCTCGGAGAAAAACACAACAATAAATTTAATACCAATAATTCGCCTTTATCCGCTCAAGCACACAGCATCAGCCTTCAACCACTGGATATCATTGCTGGCCATTCTCAAAGCCCCACTGCAGAATCACGGGCAACATGGCCACATTGTTGCAGAACACAATTGAGTTCTTGTAGCAAGGCAAAAGGATTTTTCTTTTGGGAAGTTAAAAATTTTGGTTTTCTTTTCTGCAGAATTTTTTAAGTCGTTTCTTTTCTGAAGAATTATACCATAACAGTGTTTAGTGAACAACATATTTTATACAAATAAAACATCTACTTCATGAAAATCAAGAAACTGAAAGAGAAGAATATACTTGATAATATAAAACTTAAATTTGCTTTAAAAAATATGAAGATAGTTTAATTCAGTGTTTCCCAATGTGGGGCCCACGCCCCACTGGGGGGCAATTTGAGGGTAAAGGGGGGCAATTCAAAAATGGACTCGACATGAGTTTAAACCTTTTGCTCTGGGCCATTTAAATGCAATGCAAGATTTCGGTGACAAAATCGAAAGAAAAAAGCAAATTCTTAAATAATTGCGGTCAATAAATATTATGTGACTTAAGGATTTTTTAAGCGACAAATCTGAAATGAAGTATCTGTTTACAGTCGATGGTAAAGCATTTGTGAGTTATTTAGCCAATATCTTTGAAAAACTGAATATATTAAATAAGAAACTTCAAGGAACAAATAAAACTCTTGTTGATGCAAAAGCGAAGATATTTGGCTTCATTACCCTTATTGAGTTATGTCAGAAATATATTAACAACAAAAACTTTGAACAGTTTCATTGGCTCCAAAAATGTGAAGTAAATGATA